AATATTCTAATATAACACTACAGGGGATGGCAACTCGGGATATAGACTTCTAGACATGATTTTTAATCCATTTTAAATACTCACATTTCTTAAAATAGAATATAATCTCGTAGAAAAAAGAAATGCACACCAAGTGAACGCTAAATAAAAAAAGCGCATAATAGTGCGCAATATTATTAGTACTTTATAAATTTACATGCGTTTTTTTGAGAAATCGGAAATAGCGTTAATAAGTACTTCCGGTCAACGGAAATTACTCAAAATTTGACAGAAGGTAGAGAATTAGCTCTTTTACTTACATATCAAATTTCATTTATCTATCTGAAATAGTACTCAAGTTATAGGCTTTTGAAAAATTCAAAGTAGAAAAAGTACCACTTCCGGTTATCGGAATTCGCTCAAAAGTCGATACGGATCTACGATTTTGATAAAATACTTATATATGAAATTTCACCAGCCTAGCTGTAACGGTACTCAAGTTATCGTGTTTACACACGGACACACAGACACACAGACACACACACACACAGACATACGGACAAAATTGCAAAATTATGTTTTTCCGTATCAGTGAGGTGTAAAACGTCGAGATTTGTAAAAATCTCGATTTTTTTTTTGCACGATTACAATACTTTCTCTATACTACGTATATACGAGAAAGTAAAAACATTTACCTAATAAATGAACCATTAGAAATTTTGTCTACAGTTGCAGACGATAGAGGACGACTCTGGAAGCATCAACCTCAGATACTACCCGGATGTTAAAGGTCTTCAAAGGTAGGCCCAAAACTTAACTACGGTTAAATTTTAAATGTAGATTAACAATGAAAGAATCTTCATCTAATGCGGCACCGTGTTTTTCTTTCTTTCTTTTTTTTAAACGAATGCAGAAAATAGTTCGTTGCATAGAAATGGAAATATTTCAAAAACAGTTATCACATTTAGAGTATAATTACATGACATTAGATGATTAGAGTATGGCGTTACTAATGTAGGGTGGGTCAGCCCCGGGCAGCACTTTTTTTCTACATAGCTGCTATCAAGTAGGGTGGTGTTCTGTCTCTTCCCCTCCCCTGTCACCACACATTGATGAAGTCTTTATGTGTAAGTGCCTCATACTTGTTTCAACAGTCACCTCATACATCTAAACACATCTACCTCATACATCTAAACACATCTACCTCATATATCTAAACACATCTACCTCATACATCTAAACACATCTACCTCATACATCTAAACACTTCTACCTCATACATCTAAACACATCTACCTCATGCATCTAAACACATCTACCTCATGCACCTAAACACATCTACCTCATGCACCTAAACACATCTACCTCATGCACCTAAACACATCTACCTCATACATCTAAACACATCTACCTCATACATCTTAACACATCTACCTCATACATCTAAACACATCTACCTCATACATCTAAATACATCTACCTCATACATCTAAACACATCTACCTCATACATCTAAACACATCTACCTCATACATCTAAACACATCTACATCATATATCTAAACACATTTACCTCATACATCTAAACACATCTACCTCATACATCTAAACACATCTACCTCATACATCTAAACACATCTACATCATATATCTAAATACATCTACCTCATACATCTAAACACATCTACCTCATACATCTAAACACATCTACCTCATACATCTAAACACATCTACCTCATACATCTTAACACATCTACCTCATACATCTAAACACATCTACCTCATACATCTAAATACATCTACCTCATACATCTAAACACATCTACCTCATACATCTAAACACATCTACCTCATACATCTAAACACATCTACATCATATATCTAAACACATTTACCTCATACATCTAAACACATCTACCTCATACATCTAAACACATCTACCTCATACATCTAAACACATCTACATCATATATCTAAATACATCTACCTCATACATCTAAACACATCTACCTCATACATCTAAACACATCTACCTCATGCACCTAAACACATCTACCTCATACATCTAAACACATCTACCTCATGCACCTAAACACATCTACCTCATAAATCTAAACACATCTACCTCATGCATCTAAACACTTCTACCTCATACATCTAAACACATCTACCTCATACATCTAAACACATGTGCCTCATACATCTTAACACATCTACCTCATGCACCTAAACACATCTACCTTATACATCTAAATACATCTACCTCATATATCTAAACACATCTACCTCATACATCTAAACACTTTTACCTCATACATCTAAACACCGCGAATATTGTATGTTTGAAAAAAAAGCTGACACGTCGCTATGGAAGAGTGGAGACGTCGCTAAAAAAAACTTATCTAAACTTGATATGGGAGATAACCTCTATAGGATCTTTTGGCAGAAAAACTGACAACAAACAAAACAACTCCAATTGGCTCCATCTTGTCACGTGGACACGAAGAACTAGCTCTGTTGAAAGATAGGTTTCTGTACAGTGTACGCTAGGAATTGACCGATAGCCTACCGGGGCCAAGGTCACACGTTGGCAACCTATTTTTACAGAAGCGCAGTTTTATTTTAAATACACATTTAGGACTCTGTAATGGACAGTCAGGACACATTGTAGGACAATTTTATGGACAGTGACTGACAAACTGTAGAACAACTGACTGACACAACATGCATTAACACCTCTTGACAAAGACTAGGTGTCTCCTGGGCCGGCGCTACCTATAAGGCGAACTAGACGGTCGCCTAGGGCGCCATCTCTAGGGGGGGCGCAAAAGGTTTAATAGTTATTATCAAAAGGTACCTAATAATTAATAACTTTTATAAAGGAGTAGCGATCTATTTCGGCACCCAGGACGAACTATCAATTCTGCACCCCCACCCCCAAAATTAGGTATATATAGACCATTATTTATCCGCGATGGTGAAAATGCAATCCTATCTCCCTAATTTGGAAAGGTCTGACCGCTTTTTACCAGTCACTTTGCCTTTTTAATTTGGTTTCGCATAGATGTAGAAAACGATTAAATAAGTTCGTAATTTAAATTTCGAACATTTTAATACGGCTTGTAAGTCTCGCTTTCTCTGACTTTGAATTAGAAATCTGTCCTGATGTATAAAGTTTTGTATTTTTTTTATTATTTGGCGGTTGTGTAGTTAAAGGTCTAGTGGAATCTGATTGGTAGTTAAGTAGTAGATACACGAGAATGCAGGTGATGAAGTATTGTAGTTCTGGAGTTCGGGAGTATTGTTTCTTGTGGTATTAAGGTATCGAATTATATTGATTGTTAAAGTGTAGTAGTAGGTCCAGTGAAATCGTTGTAGATTGGGAGTACCGTTTGTAGAGCTTGGTGAAGTTAAGCGAGTTGGTGTCGTAGTTCTGGAGCATCGAGTCTAGTTATGTTTAGGTATCGAAGTTTGATATGTGTTGTGAATGTAGTAGAGTATATCGAGTAGTCGAGTTTATCGTAAGTTAGATTATTTCAATTAAGTACGGAACACACTATAAAGAAAGGTAGGCGTTCTCTAGTTGAAAATTTTTAGTTTTTTTAAGGAATCTATATTACCACTCTTTAAGTTTAAAGTATTAATATATTAAATAGTATGGAATTTATAACTAACCGTAAACTTTGTTTTTCCAAATTAATTTTTTTTATATTTAATCAATAATTCTAGCAATGTCTAAAACAGTTACCAGTGTTCCATTTTTTGAAAGATGTCCCTTAATTAGGGATCCAAAATTTTATATTACTACCTATTATATGGAGGTAACATGATATTATGTCATCAAAATTGAATAAAAGTATGTTATAATAAAGCTATCGGTTTTAGACTTTCAAACAAAACGTACAGTTAAGTATTCAATGGGTAAAATATATTGTTTTTACAAGGTTACATAGCTAACATAAATGAATTGTTGTAATTATACCATAATAAAATTTAGAGTGTTTTATTGATTTTTAAAACATGTCTTAGTTACACTTGGTTAATTTAGCAATTGTTGTGAAAGTTATTTCCCTTGAATAAAATTGTGTTGTTTGGATTTTCAAATGGGAGATAATTAGTTTCTTAACTTTACAATCATTTCCAATTCCTGACCTTAGGTTGACCGCTTACATATAAATACAACTTTAAGTTATTATTTGCAACAGTAAAAATTATATAGAGCTTAAATTTTAAACAAAATAGTTTGGTAATTTTTTTTAGCATTATCAAGTTGAAAAATATCAGTAGCCGTATTAGATTGCAATACTTAATGTTAGTAGACATACAGTCTAAGTCGTAAAATAAACATCTAATTGTCTTTTCATATTTTCACCCTCTCCTAAAGGATTCATATATAACAATTCTAGGCTGGAATCTATAATATTTATAACCTTTTATTTTTCAAAACAAAAAAGCGTTAAATAATCACAGATATAGACATTTAACAATCATAACTAAAGACAGTCAAGCTTAAAAGAAGTAAGTTCCGTTTTGGGACTCACCTTGGGAGGACAGCAGAGAGCCCAACACTACAAGAACTTTTTCTTTCAGTGTTTTTTAAGACTACTTTCCCCCAGGGAGGGGGGAGCACTTACGATTTTTTAAGGGGGGGGGGGGCTATGTTGTAAAGTACAAAGTAGACTCGTGGACTTAACAGCAATTTCAATAAAATGTGATTACGCCTGCAAACTGGAATTGAAGGAATTACTACACACTTTTGAGACTTATAGGATATGTTTTATTAATTGATTTGTGTGAAAGGGGGCGTTTTAATAAGTTTTGCCTAGGGCGCTAAATAACCTGGCGCCTGCACTAGGTGTCTCTACAGTTGACTTCTTCAAAATCTTTTTCTGCAAAAAAATGCCACCACCACCACCACCGCGGGTATCTCTTCCGGCTGTTGGGAATCACTGCCCCCCCCCCCTCTTGAAAGAAACACAACACCCCATCCCTACGTCGTGATAAAGCCCAAACTGCTGTTCATCTGGCAGGTAGTCCTACCATCTACCCCACCATAAGCCTACTCTTTTTCACTGTATCGACGTCCTAGTTCTGTTTGCTCAATCTAACATGAATGGAGGCTCCGAATAAGCAATCCATTTACCTTATAGGATGGATATAGATGTGCAGTACACTACGCTTGATGATATAGTCCAGTATCAAGGTGTAATGTTTTGTTACTCTACAAGGGCTAGATACTTGTGTGATTAAAAAAGACTGCCGAGAAGTCTAGATTCTATTCACGCTTCCCCCCCCCCCCCCCCAACAAGAACAGAACTCTGGTGAACTCTGAAACTTATGAAACTTATTTGGAAACGAAAGCATAGTTCTATAATATTTCTAGCTTTTGTTCTGTATTGTTGAGAATATAGGGCTGGTAAGTAGGTCACCAAACAGTTCTACGGCTCAATAAATCCTGCATGAGCCATATAACTGGTTGGTGACCTACTTACCAGCCCTATACGGCAGGGCTGCTTATTCCGCCACTCTAAAAATAGAGCAACTCTTTGCGTCGTCTTGACTTGAGCCTCTTTGGCCAGCAAATTTTATTTAAAATAAAAATAGGGGACAATTCAAACAAATACGACATATCCAAAATTAATGTTTTAACTTGTTTTTTGGTTTGTCCAGTTTCAGAAATTCTCTGAAAACATTTCTAGAAACAGAGTTCGACTCCCACCAGCCTCTAGACGCCAACAACGTGAGTACATGTAGAGTTTATTTTAAACTTTAACATACATCAACATGCGTTGTCCCAGTCTAAAGACCTGGAGATGTGCTGTTGAATTACCTACATCATTCTACCAGTAGCTGTATGGTCCCAATGCTGTTTGTTTGGTCCTACGGCTGTTTTTGTATTTGGTCCTACGGGTGTGTTCTGTGTTTGGTCCTACTTCAGTTTTCTGTGTTAGTGGAGTCCTACAATTTCCGGGATGTGTAAACAAAGTAGATATAAGACATAAAGAACGTTTATATTTTAAACTCATCACGACAGGTCTATTTTGTTTGAATAACATGCTTATATATAAATGTTCAAGATGTATAGAATATAGCGAGTTACAGATTTTTTTTCCATTTGTTTTACACTCGTATACTCTAATCCCTACTGCCGTAAAGTTGTCCGTGTTTCCCTCTTAAAAATCTCTGTCACAAAAAGTAAATATTTTTTTACCCATGTGACAAAACTGTACCATTGTTTCCATCCACCCACAGATTATTGTAGCATGTGGCGTCACGGCACTTTTGGACGGACTGGGGTTTTCACTGGCAGATGAAGGAGGTGAGGATTGTATGGAACTGTTAGCTAGTGCTTCGGAGTCTGGATACACACACACACACACTCTCTCTCTCTCTTTCTCACACACACACACACACAAACACACACACGCATAAACACACTCACACACACTCTCACACACACAAACAATCACACAAACACTCACAGACAAACACTCTCACACACAAACACTCACAGACAAACACTCTCACACACAAACACTCTCACACACACATACACACACACACACACACACACAAACACTCTCACACAGACATACACACACACACACACACACATATATATATATATATATATATATATATATATATATATATATATATATATATATATATATATATATATAATAAAAGATAGGTATAATAAAGTGCCTTATAGTCTAATAGTTAATAGCCGCTACTTCTAGCAATTCATCTAGGATTATAAAGGGCAACTCCCATTTTTTAAACTTCGCCAAGAGAATGATGACGCAAAAAAATCTATAACAGACAATCGCTACAAAATGGCTCAAATAAATATTTCACATGTTGTTGTCTCGAGACAACAAAGGACACTTTTTTAAAAAATTTTCACCTAATCCTCCCCCCCCCCCCCTCCACAGATTACATCATGACGACATCACCCTACTACTACCGCATCAAGAACGACATGTTTGAGAGGGCAGGGGTCAACACCCTGGAGGTGCCGCTCGTTGCTAAGGTAAACAAAAACATGTTCACAGACATGTCTACAAGATTTCAAATCATTGCAAACATCTTAGTAGCTAGGCTTTTATAAACTAGGGTATTATGGGGTGTGTTCACAATATGTTTAACAATGATCATTTATTTAATTAATTGTGTGAACTTGTCTTAACATCATTGCCTAATCTACTCCTCATTAGCCAAAATCAAGCCACACGAAGCCATACAGTCTTGATGTTCACAGACTAGAAGCCTCATATTTGGAAGCTGAGAAGTCGGTAGGTGTTCACAAATCCTGACATTTTCGCTTCAACATGTCCGAAAGTTTAATAAAAATAAACCCAATGAAGCTGGCCAGTAGTTTTTGTAAGTAGGTCACCAACTTCTCGATCTCGTACTTGCCAGCTAGTATTTTTCAGACCAAATATTAATATTTTTTAATGAAATCGGTAAAAGGTACAGAAATAGAAAAGTTACTTCCCCTATTGTTAAGTTATTTAAAATCTTGACCAGTGATGATGATAGACTACAAGATATAGGTTAGCTTACAGAAAAATATAGCCTACGTCAAATTGTGTTTTTTTTTTTATGAAGTGTACATTTTGTTATTAGAATCCGTAACAATGTGTCCTCAACGCAGTTAAATATTAATTTAATATTAATAGCCTAGACTCAGAGGCGTAGCGACCCTTCCCCCCCCCCTCGAGATTTTCATTCGCACCCCCCCTCAATTTTTCTTCGATTTGCACCCCCCTCGAGATTTTTATTTGCAGCCCCCCCCCCCCCTCAATTTTTCGATTTGCACACCCCCCCCCCCTCGAGATTTCCATTTGCACCCCTCCTCAAACTTTCGATTTCCACCCCCCTCAACCTTTCAATTTATTTTTCAAACCCATTTTGGCGCCCCCTAGGGTCGGCGCCCGGGGACATATTCCCCCCCCCCCCCGCCCCCCCCCCTCGCTACGCTACTGCCTAGACTTACCTGTACTTAATTTGATTATATTATTAGCAAATATTTTTATAGTTATTGTATTTTGAACGCTCCTGGTATTTTAAAATCTTAAAGCGAGGACTAGAAGCAAATAGTCGCCATGTTTTGATTTTTTTGTTATGTTCAAAAAAATTAATTTAGTTCAAAAAGTATATCTCTCCCGGCTGACAAGAATTTAAAATTTTAAGCGAGAGAGAGCGAGACTTACAAGCACTAAGACATTGCTTAGGCTAACCAATATAAATCAATCAAGCTACCCAACTTATATCTCTAATCCAAACAAAGAATTTGACTTAGTGCCACAGGCAGTCTGTGTCCTTGTGAGACCAATGTCTAACTATTTGATTAACGCTATTTTGTTAGAAAACTTTGACCACTGTCATTCCAATGCGAACGGAAAAAATAGTATACTTCGAACTGGATCAGTTGAATGCGATTCGAAGATAACGATAATTCTAACTGTAACTCCTAACCTGACTTTAAAGAGACGAATTTTTTCTATTCCTGGCACAATACTAAAGATATTTATTGTACCGCGCACAAAATAAAGTGCAGATTGATGAATATTTATTTTCTATTCCATTTTTATTTATCGATTATTGTATTCACTATTTTAATATACATAATTTATCTTTAGGGCAAGCGGGTCAAGGCCATTCTGATTGTCAACCCCAACAACCCGCTTGGTGACGTGTACACGGCACAGCAGCTGCAGGCTCTGCTGGACTTCGCTGCCAGGTAGTCACGTGCCTTATGCATTAACCTAGGTCACCTATCTTAGGCATCAACCTAAGTCACGTGTTTGTGATAATTTTGAATTTTCTACATGGTCAGATTTATGGCTCCCCATACGCCCCCCCCCCCCCCTTCCGCATTTGGTCAGGATTTTTGGCGTCAGTTGTTCCACCACTGGTGTATGAGGTCGCCTATAACTAAATCAACAGATCCCATACCCCACACCCTTAAGTAATCCTAAAACTCAAGTGCTATTAAGTATCAAGTCCACATGCTAATCTATCTTTGATTCGATTGTCTCTCGTACACAGGTATAAACTGTACGTCATTGTGGACGAGATATACGCCATGTCTGTGTTTGACCCGGAAGTAACGTTTACAAGCATACTCTCGCTGAACCAACCTGACCCAGACAGAGTTATCTTTCTATGGGGTTTCAGCAAGGTAATGCTATTTTAGCTGATTTATTAACTAAAACAGTAGAGCATCCATTTTACATTTTATTAATCAACTTTAAATTTTGAATGTTTAAAAGGGTGGTGGTCAGTGTTGTTTTTTCCAGTCTTTTTTCTCAGGGGGGGTGCACTTGATTTTTACGGGGGCGGACTAAATTTTGCGGGGGCGGACGGGCGGACACTGTTAAAAGCATTTATTTTCTATATTAATTTCCATTTCGTTCGTCGGGGGGGGGGGGGGGGGGGGGGGAAGGGGGGGTAGACTTTCCTCGGGGGAAGGGGAAGGGGAGGGGCTGATTCCTGGAAGAAACACAGGTGGTGGTGGGGATCACCTCATAAATGAGGTCCCATTATAATATCAGTGGCGCCATAATTGTTTACACGCCCCTTCGGCTCTTCCTCATCCATCCCCCTCCCCCAAACAATGTTACGCAAGATCGACCCATTTTAACGAAAATGAACATGTTAAAAGAAATATTAACAACGTTACAGAGTTTCTTTCAGTCATCTCTATGGGGGTTGGGTGGGATTGTAAGTCCTTCTCCCACTCTCTCGATCTCAGCACTGTAATGTGACACTATTTATTAGGCTATAGCCGGCACATTAAATCTAGTGTTAGTCTATCATATTCTATCAGCCATTTCTGTTTTCTTCACGAGTTATATTTCTATTTTTTTAAAGCCCACATTCGGGCGACATTCAATATAAAACAAATGTGTACTTAATATTTAAGAGAGCCAGTAAATATGTCGAGATATGAAATAAGTTCTTCTTCTTCTTCTTCGTTCTTAATTATTAGTGTTGAAGGGGATCGAGATTTATCTGCCAGTGGGTTTGAACTCGAGACTTTTTGTTCGAATTTATCAACCATGAGCTTTTTGCCGACTCAACCACGCCTCCAACACAATTAAGCGTTACGTGTCAACTGGTTATGCGCCATTGAGGCCATTGACTCCGATTTCAACCTGCTTTTCTTTTTGGATTTGCTTCCAAGGCAGCAGTTGTTTAATTTTGGAGTTGTCTCTCCTAGAAGAGTGGCTGTCCCCAGCTAACGAGCCTCATCTGCCCGAGGGTTCGAACTCGATACTTTGCGGTTTAGCTTTACCGACTCAACCACGCCGACCCCTTGAAATAAGTTGTATGTAGGGATACCATTCAGGGCGTTGACGCCATTGACAGTCCGTCCCTCGTGTCCTTAGGGAAAACACCATCGATAATTGGACACATGTAGCCACGCCCCAAGACTCAGTAATTAATTAATGTTATTTTTCCTAGGACTTTGGCTTGTCTGGCTACCGCTGTGGTGTACTCTACTCCACCAACACTACCCTGGTCTCGTACATGGCTAGTCTCGGCATTTACCAACTCACCCCGCCGCTGGTTCAGAGAAGACTGAAACATTTTATAGACGATAGAGGTAAACTTTTTGTTAGCCTTCTCTTCGCTTCTAGATCTCTCGTAGAGAAGGCTGAAACACTTTATAGACGACAGAGGTAAACTTTTTGTTAGCCTTCTCTTCGCTTCTAGATCTCTCGTAGAGAAGGCTGAAACACTTTATAGACGACAGAGGTAAACTTTTTGTTAGCCTTCTCTTTCTCTTTGCTTCTCTTGATCTCTCGTAGAGAAGACTGTAGGACAACAGATGTAAACTTTTTGTTAGCCTGTAGGACGACAGACAGAGGTAAAATCTTAACACGGGCATATTGTTGGCTTAGGAAGAACATCAACATTAAAGAAAAGGACAAGTTTGAAGTCGATTTATAATTTTCTTCTTCGTCTTTTTTTTTTCAACTTCCATGGAAGCATAGACCTCTTACAACATGCTTTTTTGTGTCTCTCCTAATGTTCCAATGATATTCATGTCTTCAACCATTTCTCTATGCCCCATTTTTTTTGTTCTACCTCTCTTTCTCAATTCTTGTAGATTCATGATATGGCTTTTCTGGTAATACTAGTTGCCAGTTTCTTGAACATAAAGGCCATCCATCTCCACCTTTAGTTCTAAATGTCTAGCTCTTTTTAGATTTCTCCTGTCTTTTCCCATACAGTTGTGTTTACTTTATTAGGGTGGGGGGGGGGGGGGGGGTCGTCACACTCATAGGGAAGGGAGGTCCGTGATTTTGTAACGATGTGTGATTGGGGATTGGGATGTTAGATAGTGTGACGACATGCTTTTGCATTAAAAAAATGAATTTTAGCCGTTATTTCACGTTTTTAGATAACTGTTTCAATAAACTGTAATAGAAATTGATTAAAGCACTCTATGTTTAGCGAGCTCAGTTATGATTTCAGAAAAAAAAAATTCAACCGCAGTTTTGAGGAGGGTGGGGGGTATAGGATAAAGTGTAATGTCATTTTAGTGGGGAGGGTCTTCTTTGTTGTGACGATGTGTGACGGTGGGGAGAGGGAGATAAAATCGTTTTAAAAAAGGGACGTCATTTATGGATGACCATAAGCATTGTCTTATCAATATTTCGACTATGCGTAAGGTGGTATTTTCTGATGGTAAAAGTTGATTATTTCTCCTTTAATTAGAATGGTTACATGCTACCTACCTGCCCACACTGAGAAGACGGTTACAAAAACATCACAAGATGTTCCAAGATGCGCTGACCAGGTGTGGTCTGGATGTCCATCCGTGTTCTGGCGCCATCTTTATCTGGATCGACGCCTCAAAGGTACTCACTTATCCGCTGTCCACAAATGCTTGTTTTTAAAAATTGTGATATGAGTAGATTGCAATGATATTGATGTATTCAAACGTTTCGTTCAGTTTAAACAAAAAATAAAGTTTCATGGGGCAGTTTAAGTAGAGTTCACCTGTGTACGTGACCTTCAACTCCGTGTTTCTTTCAGACTTTTTTCTCCGAGGAGGCTAAAATTTCCGGGGGGGGGGGGGGGGCAGACACTGCTAAAAGTATATATTTTCTATATAAATTCCATTTCGTTCGGGGTGAGGGGGGGGGGGGGGGTGGCCGGTAGACTTTCTTCGGGGGGGGGGGGGGGGGGGGGCAAGAAACTGCTCGAACTTTGAAAGGATAATATATTAGTTCAGGTTACTAGACTATAATTATGGCAATATTAGTTTAGGTCTACTGTGTTGAGACATTTTACTTTCAATTAAGAGAGTTCCTGTTGGATTGCAGATCTATTTGCTCTACAGAAAAGTGAAATATGAAATACTTTTTGCTGCGACTAAAATAAAATAAAATCAGTGAACAGTTTCATTAACAAAAATGGCCACTTCAATGCTTCTAAAATTCTAGGAGAATGCAACAAATGATGTAGTCTAACCTTGCTAATTCTGCAGTACCTACCAGAAGAAAGTTTCCTGGCAGAAGAGTGGCTGTTTGAAGAGTTCATGAAAGAGAAAGTTTTTCTCCTGCCTGGCCAAGCCTGCTACAGCCAAAATCCTGGCTGCTTCAGGATTGTGTTTTCATTGGATGAGAACACCTGCACAGAAGGTGAGTCATGATACTTTCTTTAACACAAACATCACTTGCCTTTTACTTTAGCAAATCAAAGAATTGTATTTAAAAAGTTAAATAACTAATGTTTTGTTTCATTAAAAAACAGGAATAAAAAGAATTCAGAATGTTCTGAGAAGAATCAGACCCAGCCACTTGCCCAATGGATTTTAAAAACTTGAATTTTCTTTTCATCCTGTACAGAAAATATACTCTCATTATTGTGAACAATAGAATTCCTATATTGTCGTTTAGTCTTACCATTACATTGATATTAATATTTTATTTTTAAAAATATAACAATACATTAATAAGATGTATTATTTTACAATAAATTCATCAGTCAAATATGAAATAGATGCATAATTTTTATATTTGGTTTTGTAAGCATTTAAACAATCACATTTTGGCGATTTAAATAAACTAAAAACAATTTCAAATGTCTATTGTAGTTACACTTGTTTAATGTTTTCAATCAATAATGTCTACATGATACATCCTTGTGTAACATATAATGCACACTTATACGTGAACTTACTTTTCTGCTATTTGTTAAGAGGATCTAATACAATTCTTAATTGTAATTAGTTGTAAATGGATGAAGAAATAAATGATGAAATAATGTATTGTCTTTGCAAGATAAAAATGTGGTAATGTCAAAATTTTATGTTAACCAATATTAACTTTAATAAGTATTTTAACAGTTGTATTCTTATAACATCTAATGTTTGAGTTGTTTGAAATGCTAAATAAAAAACCTCAAAATATTTCTGACCATGTAGTCTATTGTGGTGCTGTTCTATGATAGATAAGACAAAATGGTGTTAAATAGATATTTCAACAAACTCTTTTTGTTACTTTAAGTATATTTTTATTTATCAACATTTGGCAACAAATATTCTGTTACACACTGTAAAACAACAATAAAACAAATTATAAACATCTTTGGCATATTATAAAATTAGGCAATCTGGTATAGGGCTTTTATGGAAAGCAATTGAGGGAAGTTGGTTATCGTTTTAAGTAGTCAAAGTTATTTGTACATCACAATGTAACTTGTTTTTTTCTGGTTATATAAAAATAATTGTCTAAAAATAATTTCAATTACAAAAATAAATTATTAGATATATTCATTACCAAAATCTGAAACTAGTAATTGTTTGATCAATATTTATGATTTCGCATTTCATTTACAAATTTGTTTAGTAAATATAAAACCCACTACAGTTTATTTAATGGATTTGTTTTTTCCTTTGTAATTTCTCGAATGATGATACAAACAGTAACAGTATTAGCTGATTATATTTCAAGAGACATAAACAGTTTAATGCATATCACTAACTAGCTGCTGTAATAAAAATACCAACAAAAATCCCCTGAAATTTAGAACCCTTGGCCCTTCCATCCAAGTGGCCAAAGACACATTTAGTAGCCAGGGCCACGCCCACTAACTGGCCAAATACTCTCCACTTTTCCATCCCTCAAGCCAACAATCCAGTCATGCATGTTTACTGTTGGGTCACAGTGACCTGGAACAAGCCAAACTTGATCCCCAACCTGGAATGAAAATAAAAATACAATTAAGAATGTTTTCAGTTGCGTAAAGAAAAACCCAAACCCACTGATGAAACACCACAATAAACTAGAAGGTATTTTTATTGCTGTGGGCGTGAAGAAAATGTTGGGTATGAAAATTAAATTTACTGTAAAGATTTTTTAAAAAGTTTTTTATGTAGCTATTAAGCAAAGCATGAAAGACTGACAAAAATGACTGCAAGTTTCTCACAACTCTTATGTTTTAATGACTAGTAATTGAATTTTAACAAATAATACAAAGTAAGAGTGTAAGATATATAATAGTTCTGTTAAAAAAATAAACATCTAAGAAGCTCAATGAAACAAATTAAATTACTGAAGAAAAGTTTATTATAAAATCCCTACCTTGAGATTACCAGGGGGGACAATTACTCCGTGTTCATCACCACCACTTATGTAAGTTAAGTCCCCTGCTTCTCTTAGCTAAGAAAAGAATTCAATAAAAAAATTATTGGAAGAAATAAATCAAGGTCAAAACAAACTTATTATGTAGTTTTCATTATTTTAGGTATAAGATACAATGTATAATTGGAGAAAATCTACAAAAAATGTACTTACAGTTGGTACACCTGAATCAAGACTGACTGCCTTCATCCCACAATCTAGCACAGCTCTATTAGAAAACTACACATTTAAAAAAATAATATTAGAAAACCACACATTAAAAAGTATTAAAAAAACTACACATTAAAAACATATTAATTATAAATTATTATAAATTAATTATGATATTTACCCATATTTTATTTAATTATATTTATATTATTAATACTTTATTATTTTTTTGTATAATGAATGTTATATTTCGAACGAGCGATTAGTAGACTTAAATTTAGTTTGTTAATAAAGTGAATATGAAAAGCATCAACTGTTGAATAATGCACTGATGCTACTTATATAGGCCTAGAACAAAAACAATGGAAGCGCTACTTACCGAGCTCTGGACTGTACTCAGCACGTAGAGAGACTGTCTAAACTCTGAGACAAACTTGCCGTTAATGTCCAGGTTCTTGCCATAGTCAACGTCCATGAAAACATATGAACCTTGGGTGAGTTAAGGTGAAGCAATTTACACAATAAGAATATCTTTAACCAAATACGTTGACCAATCAAATCATTTTTCTAAAATTATTTTCAAGTTAAAAAAGTTTGTATGTAAGCCAGTTCATGGAGGCTTGGGCATTATACCAAAAGGCCAGAAGGAGTATCAAGAGATAGAAGATAATGTTCTGCCAAAGATCAATGTAGATGTTCATACATATTTGTATTCCTTATTTATACTCAAGTAAATAGCTTTTATTTAATTAGAATTGAGGATGACACAAAGTTTGTAACTGAAAAGTTGAAACAATTAATCATGAAATAGCTTGCAACTGTGCATGAGATATAAACACAAAATGGATATTGGTTGAACTTCTGTGAAGACTCCACTGCCTGCCTCGTAATGGAAGGTTCCAGTACCACCTCCTGTGACATAATTACAATCAATGCCACTTTCTTTCAGTGCCTGATCATGACAAAACAGATTAATTAGTTCTCAACAACATTGACAGTTCAATATTCTTTTCAGCTAAACAAAACATTTATAATAAAAATTTAAACGAAGTCCTTACAGAGAGAGCAGCCTTTGTTTTTACAATAACAGCATCTACTGCTGTCTTTCTGTCCTCAGCACTACGGATATGCTGATTTTGTCTGGAAAAAAATGTATTACCTTACTTCAACTCCATTTTTTTTAAAACTTAAAACCCTAAAGAGCTCTCCGAGTATAAAATACTTTTATTGTTAACAATAAAATACAACCATTATCAGGAACAACCAAAAAAGGAAAATGTGGATTGGATGTGGTAATCAATTGAAACCCAGTTGTAATGTTAAACTCCAGTATTTATTTGGCTAAACATATTTACCCATTGTAGCAGTGAATTCCTTTAAAGTTAACATTTGGCAGGTCAAGAATTGTCCTGGCCAGTTTTACAACTTCCTCTCCAGGCTCCACACCACACCTAGAAAGATTTAACTTCATATATATACATATCTATATATATATATATATAAAGCAATGTGTGTGTGTGCGCGTGTCTTTTATGCATTACTAAACCTTTCATCCGATCGCCATGAAACTTTGGGAAGTTGTTGAGAATAATCCTGGGGAGGTTCCTGCGAAGAAATAAAATTCAAACTAGCAAGGGTGGCATATATAGAGAAAAAAAATTGCGCCCTCACGGGATGCCGCCTTTGAAAAATTAAAAAAGATTTTTTTTGCAGAACCCTTTCCTGTAGTGTTCTAATCAACTCCCAAAGTTTCATGGCAATCGGATGAACAGTGTAAAACCGCAATCGACTTTTATTTTTTATATACCGTATATAGAAAAGAATCAAAATGCATTAAAATTGAGTTTTTTCTTATAATTTTAATGTGTTTACTACTGGAATGGTCACTGATTGTCCAGTCAGTGTGTTACCTGTTCCCACCAACATTGACCTCCACCACAATGTCCAGGTTGACCCCCATCTCAACAGCAGCCTGACTGATATCAGCAATGTTCTTCTCACTGTCCACACAGACAGAAATCTTGGCACTCCTGGCCAGTGCAGCGAGTCTTAAAAGTTTTGTTTTTTGTATCACCTGAAACATAGTCAATCAATGTATTAAATTCATAAAATAAAAACAATTAAATTAGAGGTTTAAGTAATTAATATAAATTTAATTAAGAGCAACCAAGAATTTTATCAATGAAGAAATATTAAATATAAACATTAAAGTTACAGATTTCTTTTCATATAAAGAACTTATAAAATATAAACTTAAATGATAAATCCCAGTTTTTCCATGTATATCACAATAAAACCCTAAAATGTCAGTTTTACTTGATTTGACAGCAGAATGTCCTCAACACCACCCAGCACCATAGCCTCGGCTTCAGTCACCTTTTGGCAGCACAAGCCTACAGCTCCTGACTTTATCTGCCCAACAATAAGATGTTTAGATAATCTTAAAATAGACACAAGCCAGAGAGCTGCCATTTAGGGGCAATAAAATATTTTAGTAAACTAGAACATTCACAGATTCACAGTATCTATATATATAATTCTCTTCTGGGAGCCGCTAAAAAACAAGCTGTAAACGCGATCCCTACCTCCCCACCCCTACATGATCTTAGTGAGCTGTGTTCACTCTAAATGTTTACAAGCAGAGCCAACGATTTTAAATGTAAGAGGGGGGGGGGGGGAGAAGGAAGGGAGGGGGGGGGGGGGGAAGGAAGGGAGGGGGGGGGTTATGGTCCTTAACGAGCTACTTATAGTGTTTTAAAGAAATATTTTCAGTGTCAGCATTGGTACTGTTGAATTCACAAATTATGAATTACTGAAAAGTAGAAAATAAAAAACTAAATAGCGGCCTATGTTATGCCGCGGGCCGGCTCGTAGATTTAAATGAGAATAAGCGTGAATCATAAAATAAATTGTATTATCCTTTTAAAAAAAGCTTAAATGACTTTCTTTATTAATTTATTAAAAAAAATAAAAAGCCATTTAAAAATTAATATGAACATTCTTTAGGCAACTTAGACTAGTGTTGACAATAATTTTTTTAATGTATGGATTATTTCCCCTGACTTAAATTAGCCTGTGCATGCAAACACCAGCATAACTAAACCCCAACAGCAAGTGATACCTGGAGTCTGCCCAGCGTGGGACATTTATGAGATTTGGCATGAGGCCTAAACTTGACACCAGGGTAAGCCTTCATGGCCTCTGTCATTATCTTGAGGTTTTCTTCCAGCTTCTCCAGACACACAACCAGGGCTGGGGTCTCTATCTCGGTCACCAGCTCACCAACTCTGCAAGGGACCTGGTTACAACAAATTGTGAGAACATATAAATATAACATATATATTTATTTTATTTTTAAAAATATCTTTAAAACATGGGTCATGTAGGCGAGTGTTCAATTGCTAACCCAAAAGTCTCGAGTTTGGAATTTAGACTTTTGGGAGCCAGTAGGACATCCCACATTACACTAAATTACACTTTTATAAAATTCAGGCCATCATTTCAGGAAATATACTTTTCTTCAATCTTAATTGTAATGTTGGATAGGATATCCTCCAACACAATTAAGTTTTGCGAGTCACCTTGTTATGCGGAATATAGGCAGTCCACTACGATTTCTGCCTGATTTTATTTCTGGATTTGCTTCCATAGCCTGTCCGAAAATAGAACAAACTAAAAGTAGGCAGTTGTTTGATTTTGGATTTGTCTCTCCTTGATGAGTTGCTGTCGCCAGTTATCGAGCCTCCTCTACTAAGAGAAAATACACTGAACATGACATTGTTCATAAATCATAACCTACATCAGGGGTCTCCAAACTTTTCAGTCCGAGGGCCGCATCAACTATCAAATTTCAGTTAGGGGGCCAGTTTCTTCCAGGCATGTCGTGATTTTTCTGAGCAAAGTTCCTCAGCCATCACCAACAAACGTTTTTTCCCTGGACAAAAAGATCTCCGCGGGCCGGACGAGAGAACCTCGCGGGCCGCATCCGGCCCGCGGGCCGTAGTTTGGAGACCCCTGACCTACATGATCAAACAAGTGTAATTGTCTAAAACCAAGAAAGAAAAATAAAAAGCTAACCTTTGCTGAACACATTCTAGAAAAATGTTTTTCCACAGCCGATGTCAAATGAGGTGGTGATAAACTTTTACTCTGAGTAGTGCTGACAACTGTATTGACCAATCTTTTGAATGAATAAGATTTGCCTATATGTCCCAACTTTTTACACAAGAACAATGCAGAATATTTGTAAGCTTGACATAAAACCATCACGTAACTGGGTGTTATTATTGTTTCTTTTTTAAACAGTAGTAGTAGAGTTATCAACAACCATTCTTTCTGAAATATAAAAATAAAAGCTGTTATTAATAAAAAAAAAAAAAAGAAATAACCAAGCTCAGATTATTTTGCAACAATAATAAATTGGTTATTTCCTGTTTGTCCTGTTTGGTCAACATTTTTCGGGGGTGGGGGGGGGGGGGGGGGGCGGACACTAGTACAAGTGTATATTATGTTTACTATATTTATATATTATAAATATAAAATATAAATTATAAATGAAAATGCAATCTCGTTCGGGGGGGGGGGGGGGGGGCGGTAGACTTTATAGTTTATACTAAATTTATTAACTAAATACTTTAAAGGGTAATTTATCGTTTTGGGTACGTAAAATCGCCCGCGGCTACTAATGTACGAAAACGTTACCTCATTGTCAAGGCTGTAATAGAAGTATATTGTGATATGTTTGGGTCAAATATTATAGATAAATGAATAATAAACCTAAATCAATGGCTAAATATATCAATATAGGCCAGAAATTAACTTTAAACAGCAGTGTCTGCAAGCAAGATTTCCTATATAAACAGCAGCCATTTGTAAAATAGAGTGACTTCCGCCTGAATCTTGCGCTTTAATTAAGTCTATAAAAATAAAACTTTAACAAGATGGCTGCTATAGTAAATGAGCATGGTTGCATCTGTTGGAAACATCGCTAGTCTTCATTTATTACTGAAAAGTTTTAATTCAATTGTTTAAAAACAGGTACATAAATGAAACAAGGAAACATTTTTGTATTTTTAAAACATAAATCCTTCTCGAAATGTGAAATAATGATTAAAATGTAAGGAGTCACCTGTTTTTCACATTACTAGTCGCGGGCGATTTTACGTACCCAAAACGATAGATTACCCTTTAAAGTTTAAAGTAACTTTGTTACTTTATAGTTCTAACTAATACAATATGCTAATACTAGTTTTACTAGTAAAGTAGAACTAGATCTAGATCTATACTATATAGAAATCTAGTCTAGAATCTAGATCTAGAAATTATAGTATAGATTCTTGGTCTAGAATAGATTCAGTAGATTGTAGAATCTACTTACTTTTACCAGAAACATAGAATCCAAATTTTTTATTTAACTTACAAACAATCGTCACGTGACAACTTAAGGAAAAATATCACGTGATTTATAATCATGTGATTTTGATAGCATATTTTTGTTTGGACTAAGTAATTTAGTTCTCGCGATTGCTTTGGATAAAATAATGTAACGATTATCTCCCTATTGTTACTTGTATTTACTCTTAGTAACTCTTATCTGTGAAAAGTGTTTGGACAAATTCGGCTAGTTGTGTCTTGTAATTACCGGGCCCTAATCATTTAATTAAATCTTAATTTAGTTAGATTTAAATAGTTAGATTTAGATTCTAGAAGATTAGATTAGTTAGTGATTTTTAGATTTTTAGAGATTAGGCAGGCTAATTCTAAAGATTAGTATTAAAGTAAAAACAATTAAAGTAGTAGTAGTAGGCCTAATTAACATTAGTACTAGGCCTAATTAATTATTATTAATTAATTACAGTTTTACCAGTAAGCAGTATTTTAACTATTTGATTACAGTTGTACCTCGACATACGAGTGCCCTGACATATGATCACCCCGACATATGATCGCCCCGACAGATCTACGAGATTTTTAAGTTAGGAATAGTAGAGTGAGCTAAAATTTGCAATGACCTACTAGATAGCAAAATTTGAGATATGAGTAACCACATTGGCGGCTTAACAGTTTGCGGCAAAGAAACACCACAAAAAAGTTGCCACTGATTGTGCATATTAAAGCCATTTATTATCATTATGCCATTTATTATGCCATTTAATGATAATCTCCTGATTTATTTCCAAAACATTCTAAAACAAGTTAATAAAAAGTCTAGTGACAATTTAAGCGCAATTTCCTTATGTTATCTAAAAATAGATAGTCATCACAAAGACGTATAATGCTGGGGTGCGTTCAAGCTAGGAGAACGATCGGTTTGTAGGTGTTTATGTAATTTAAAAAAAAAATTTGTGACCGAATGAAAGGATATTTTTGAAAACTTTCTTCCGCAATATTGTTCTAAATTATGGCAGGAATTGATTGGTAAATGTTTCAAGTCGCTAAGTGGTCTGGTTGCCGAGATATGTGCCAAAAACTGCTTTTTTTCAAGGTTTTTTGGCTTTTCCGGGAAATCCAGGAAGGAATTCCGGGAATTTTTTTGGCCCACAATCATCCTCGGAACTTGCTTAACATATTTGCTTTTGGAACTAGTCCTCAATATTGCTTCGTTGAGGAGGAGATAAGACTTAAAGCTGCGGACACACATCCATCCATTAATTCATACATCCAGAAAGGACGAGTTAATAATCGCAATTGTCCGTATGGAAATTGCGCTAAAAATGGAGGAAAAGCAAACCTACTCTTTAACCTTGGACAGATTTAATTTTACACCAGCAAGGAAAAGTAAACAAAGTGCCGAAAGTATGGCAAAAAACGACATAGACCAGTGTAGAGAGAAGCAGTGACAAAAATCACTAAATATTATACAGTAACATTGAGATTCAGTTATTTTTGGTGAAATTTAAATTCCGTTAAATTTAGGGTTAAGTTAGTGTAACGATTAAGTGAATTAAAATGGCAGAAAGTAAGTGAGCAAAGTGAAGCTCCTCCACTCAGTGGTGTAGCGAGGCCGGGTGTCACCCGGTGTGGGACTTAATGGTGTCACCAGTGTTTCTTCCAGACTTTTTTCTCCGGGGGGGCACTTGAAATTTTCGGGGGGGGGGGGGGGGGGGAGGGTAGACTTTCTTCCGGGGGCGGACACTTAAAAGTATATATTTTCTATATAAATTTCATTTCAAAGAGGTGCCTGTAAGAAACTCTGGGTGTCTCCCCCCAGAGGCGGCATAGCGACCCTTCCCGGAGAAAAACACTTTCAATTTTTGATTTGCACCCCCCCCCCCACCATTTCAAACTTTAGATTTGCACCTCTTAAAATCTTAAAAGACTATTTAACACTCGAATTAATCACTTAATTAAGTGGAATTATCATTTTTCTCTATATATGTTGCTATCTTTTTGCCTTGGTGTCACCCCCCTATATGGTGTCACCCGTTGCGGTCCGCATCCCCGCCCCCCTTGCTACGCCACTGCCTCCACTTATTTCCTCCTAATGTCTACACCTCCACTAGCATCTTCCGTAAGCTCAAGTGGGCTGGTTCTTGGGTAAAAAACAGTTTTCTTATTTAAAAAAAACCAGTATAAAAAACAACAGGGGTGGCATTTTGGAGCCTGGAACAGATTAATGGCATTTCAATTAATTTCAATGTAGAAAATGGCTTTGAGATATGAGCAATTTCACATACAAGCAAAGTTATGAAACGAATTAAACTCGTATCTCGAGGTACCACTGTAGTTTGATTTTAATAAAAAAAAACAGGCCTTCACTGGCCTCCAGTCAGTGGCCTACACTTTTGAGACTTTTTTTTTCCTGACTTACACTGTAATATTAAAAATAAGAATAATAACTGTTCAACTTTAATAACAATCTTTTTTTTATTTTTAAAAACAGTAGAATGAAATCCAAGTGGTTTACAGTAATTTGTATAGGCCTACTATTCTTTGAAAAAACTTCTTGTAAAAATGTTATTCAAATGTCTGCTGATTTTGATAAAGGTAATTTTATAATTTAACATCCAGGTATCCTAATTATGTATTATATATAGGCTAATATGATGTAATTTACAGTTAGTATAGACTCCATATTACATACTGTACTGTAAATTCTTCCCTTATTAAAGTGCTCCTAAAGATTAAGTTAAGGTACTAAGATACTAATGTATACAAGCCTACTAGATGTAGATTAAAAAAAATAAACCATAAGATTTGATGCAAATAAAATTTTTATACTTGTTTTTAGTTTTGTATGAACAACACATGAAAAAAGGGATAGCCCAAAATGGGCCTTCGTTTGCTTTTGCTAAGCATTTCCAGGACCACATGGTGCTTCAGCAAGCACCCAGGAGAGCCAATATTTATGGATTCTCACCAGACATTGGACAAAAAGTCATCATGCAGGTACTGTACATGATTGTTTTATTACATAATGATTTTTACGGGAATAGTATCAAATCTATTATTTTTGTTAATATTGCTTTTACTTTCCAACAGTAATAGTGACTAGGAAAAACTCCTCTTAGAAGAACCCATTTTTAGGTTTCTTTCAAAACTGTTGTAGTTCAAATATTATGGAGGCTGTGAGATAATTAGTTTTGTACGAGTCTGCTCTTTTGTTTAGAGTGAAAGATGTTTACTGAACAATCTACAAGTTAAAAATGACTTGTTTGTCACATATGATTTCAATTAAAAATAGATAACCCTATAATAGTTGTGTTTCCTAAAAATATTTTATTATTTTTCATCACATTATAAATGGAATAGATAATTAATTTTTTTTTCTTTTGTCCACAGCTTGTAACAGTACCTCCTACAAGACCTTACTATTATGAAACAACAACAGTCCAAGGTCCAGACGCCAACCTTGGCTATTGGAACTTTATGCTTGACCCCTTCCCTTCCAACACAACAGTAAACATCAACATACAGGCTGAGGCCGGCTCTTTGAATTTAAACGATGTCATCTTTGGAGATGTATGGATCTGCTCTGGGCAGTCCAACATGCAGTTCACTGTCATTCAGGTTGGTCACTGTCATTATTCAGATTGGTCACTGTCATTATTCAGGTTGGTCACTGTCATTATTCAGGTTGGTCACTGTCATTATTCAGGTGGGTCAAGATTTTCTACTTGTAAGATAGATGAAATAGATGTACTTGTAGGAAAGATGGTAGTAGCATTATTAAAAAGCAAAGTCCTTGTTTTTAGTTTTTCTTCTTTTAGACATTGTGCTTGAGGGGGGGGGGGGACTGGGGACAGGCAATGGCAAGAATGATTAATTTAATTGATATTTGTTTGTCATTGTTGAGGAGATTAAAAAAGTAAAGTTCCCTTTCAAACCTGATGGTCTACAGGGCAAGTGAAGTAGAGTTCACTTGTTTCTGTGACCTCGGCATATGAAGAGATAGTGTGGTCAGCACACTGAGAGATTCCTAATAAAAACACCTTTCCTTTTTTTTTTTTTTTTTTTTAAAAATATTACAACTTATGTTGTTTTAAACTCAAAAGATAATGCAAATATCTAAAGGTAAAGGCTGAATTGTGTAAAACTGAATGTTCAAATAATTGTGTTTAAACCTGAGTGTTCAGCTGATTATGTTAAACTTGAATATTCACCTAATTGTGTTAAACTTAAGTGTTCAACTAACAGTGTTAAATCTTGATTGTTAAACTAATTCTGTTAAACCTGACAATTGCTGTAGATGGATGATGCTGAGGCTGAATTGGCTGATGCAGCAAATTACCCGAACATTCGCCTCATGACCGTCAATATGAATGAATCAACAACTGTCCAGTATGATCTCATACAAATTGAGGAAAACTGGACTAAACCAAGTAGAGGTAGCTATATACTCACATTCAACAGTTGTTTTTTTAATTTAAATCCATTAGCTACAGCAACATTTAATTTTAAAATTATTGCATTGATTAAAGCTTATTATGTTTTGTAATTGCTATAACAAATGATGTCCAATGACCTTATTCAATATTGGTTTCAGTTTGGACTTTGATATTATTCTGCTTATTTGAAATCTTGAAACCTCCTTGAGATTATTTCTGTTTTACCAACATTGCTAGAAATTGTTCTGGTCAAAAAAAAATTCTGATAGGCCACCACCACAGAATCTTAGAACATTTTATTGTTTTTAAAAGCTTGATTGAAATTAAAATATGATATAATGCACCATAACAACACAACAAAACCTTGACTGTTGTCACCAGACACTCTTGGCGCCGCTGCCTGGACCTATTTCTCTGCAGTCTGCTGGCTGTTTGGTAAAAACATCCACAAACAGAGAGGTGACCCCATCGGCCTAGTTGCCACAGACTGGGGTGGCACCCCAGTGGAGGCCTGGTCATCACCTCAGGCCTTGGCAGCCTGTGGGGACTCACCTAAACCAAAGGTTCAACTGCCAGCGTCCTACAGGAGGTGGGTTCTGTGTGTCTAGTGGACATTTCCCTTGTTGTATTAAGTGGACATTTCCCTTGTTGTATTAAGTGGACATTTTCCTTGTTGTATTAAGTGGACATTTTCCTTGTTGTATTAAGTGGACATTTCCCTTGTTGTATTAAGTGGACATTTTCCTTGTTGTATTTAGTGGACATTTTCCTTGTTGTATTAAGTGGACATTACCCTTGTTGTATTAAGTGGACATTTTCCTTGTTGTATTTAGTGGACATTTTCCTTGTTGTATTAAGTGGACATTACCCTTGTTGTATTAAGTGGACATTTCCCTTGTTGTATTAAGTGGACATTATCCTTGTTGTATTAAGTGGACATTACCCTTGTTGTATTTTGGTGGAAATTTCCCTTGAATTTGGTGAACATTTCCTTTTTTGTGATTAGTGAGCAGTTCTGTTTTATTTAGTTAACATTTCTCTTATTGTGTTAAGTGAACAGTTCTTTAATTGTGTTTAGTGAACATTTCTATTGTAGCGTTTAGTAAATTTTCTTTCATTGTCGTTCATTTAATTTGTTTATGTTTTTTATTTTTCTCAAATTGATTTTGTCATATAAGCTCTAAAGATTGTGTAATTTATCTTTTTGATAATTTATTGATTAACCTATATCATCCCAGCTACCTAAATCAGTTGCCCCCTAAAGACATAGACTTGAAGGTCCCTGTACCAATAATTTATTAACATTTACCATCCCAGCTACCTAAATCAGTTGCCCCCTAAAGACATAGACTTGAAGGTCCCTGTACCAATAATTTATTAACATTTACCATCTCAGCTACCTAAATCAGCTGTCCCCTAAAGAAAGACGTAGACTTGAAGGTCCCTGTAGCAATAATTTATTAACATTTACCATCCCAGCTACCTAAATCAGCTGTCCCCTAAAGAAAGACGTAGACTTGAAGGTCCCTGTAGCAATAATTTATTAACATTTACCATCCCAGCTACCTAAATCAGCTGTCCCCTAAAGAAAGACGTAGACTTGAAGGTCCCTGTAGCAATAATTTATTAACATTTACCATCCCAGCTACCTAAATCAGCTGTCCCCTAAAGAAAGACGTAGACTTGAAGGTCCCTGTAGCAATAATTTATTAACATTTACCATCCCAGCTACCTAAATCAGCTGTCCCCTAAAGAAAGACGCAGACTTGAAGGTCCCTGTAGCAATAATTTATTAACATTTACCATCCCAGCTACCTAAATCAGCTGCCCCCTAAAGAAAGACGTAGACTTGAAGGTCCCTGTAGCAATAATTTATTAACATTTACCATCCCAGCTACCTAAATCAGCTGCCCCCTAAAGAAAGACGTAGACTTGAAGGTCCCTGTAGCAATAATTTATTAACATTTACCATTCCAGCTACCTAAATCAGCTGTCCCCTAAAGAAAGACGTAGACTTGAAGGTCCCTGTACCAATAATTTATTAACATTTACCACCCCAGCTACCTAAATCAGCTGTCCCCTAAAGAAAGACACAGACTTGAAGGTCCCTGTACCAATAATTTATTAACATTTACCATCCCAGCTACCTAAATCAGCTGTCCCCTAAAGAAAGACGCAGACTTGAAGGTCTCTGTACCAATAATTTATTAACATTTACCATTCCAGCTACCTAAATCAGCTGTCCCCTAAAGAAAGACATAGGCTTGAAGGTCCTGGAGATAACTCTGTCTTGTGGAATGCTATGGTTCATCCCCTGCTGGGTATGACCATATATGGTGCTATCTGGTATCAAGGTATGGACAGAACACATGTAATAGTTGACTGTACTTAATTTAAAAACTTCTGCGCGTCAGTGATTGAAATAACATAAAAAAACTTTAGTATAAAGGTCACAGTGGTTAATTGAGGATGAGATGCTGGTTAAAAAAAAAGAATATTTTGGCTAGCAGGCTCTAATTTATAGGTTGGCCATAGTTGTATAAGTTTTAGATCTACCCAGCTCTTATAGGTACCTGAGGTTGGGTACATGGCTGGTAATACATTTAAGGGAATATAATCTTCCCTAAGAACCTATTGAAAACCTTACTGTTACTTTTTACTTTAAGTTTCTAATAATTAGTTATTTTTGGTGAGTTAATTAACTTTTGTTAGGTGAGTTCATTAATTATTTTAGGTGAGGCTGATGCTAGTGGGGCCAGGATGAATAATTACAACTGCACGTTCCCAGCAATGATAAATGACTGGAGAGCTAATTTTAACAAAGCTTCAAATGGCCAGACAAGCTTGACATTTCCTTTTGGTTTCGTGCAGGTAGGGTGTTTGGTTGTACAGGCAGGGTGTTTGGTTGTATGGGTAGGGTGTTTGGTTGTAGAGGTAAGGTGTTTGGTTGTAGAGGTAGGGTGTTTGGTTGTAGAGGTAGGGTGTTTGGTTGTAGAGGTAGGGTGTTTGGTTGTAGAGGCAGGGTGTTTGGTTGTATGGGTGCTGTCTATAGCTGCACAAGTGTGTTGTTTACAGTTGTTTAGATGTGTTGTCTAGGTCTAGAGTTGTTTATATGTATTGTCTAGGTCTAGAGCTGTTTAGATGTGTTGTCTAGGTCTAGAGTTGTTTATATGTATTGTCTAGGTCTAGAGCTGTTTAGATGTGTTGTCTAGGTCTAGAGTTGTTTATATGTATTGTCTAGGTCTAGAGCTGTTTAGATGTGTTGTCTAGGTCTAGAGCTGTTTAGATGTGTTGTCTAGGTCTAGAGCTGTTTAGATGTGTTGTCTCATTTCATCACCTTCCCTGACTCCCAACATCAGGCAACTCTCCTGACCCCACCATCTGTTTTTATCCCAGCTATCAGGCAACTCTCCTGACCCCACCATCTGTTTTTATCCCAGCTATCAGGCAACTCTCCTGACCCCACCATCTGTTTTTATCCCAGCTATCAGGCAACTCTCCTGACCCCACCATCTGTTTTTATCCCAGCTATCAGGCAACTCTCCTGACCCCACCATCTGTTTTTATCCCAGCTATCAGGCAACTCTCCTGACCCCACCATCTGTTTTTATCCCAGCTATCAGGCAACTCTCCTGATCCCACCATCTGTTTTTATCCCAGCTATCAGGCAACTCTCCTGACCCCACCATCTGTTTTTATCCCAGCTATCAGGCAACTCTCCTGACCCCACCATCTGTTTTTATCCTAGCTATCAGGCAACTCTCCTGACCCCACCATCTGTTTTTATCCCAGCTATCAGGCAACTCTCCTGATCCCACCATCTGTTTTTATCCCAGCTATCAGGCAACTCTCCTGACCCCACTATCTGTTTTTATCCCAGCTATCAGGCAACTCTCCTGACCCCACCATCTGTTTTTATCCCAGCTATCAGGCAACTCTCCTGACCCCACTATCTGTTTTTATCCCAGCTATCAGGCAACTCTCCTGACCCCACCATCTGTTTTTATCCCAGCTATCAGGCAACTCTCCTGATCCCACCATCTGTTTTTATCCCAGCTATCAGGCAACTCTCCTGACCCCACCATCTGTTTTTATCCCAGCTATCAGGCAACTCTCCTGACCCCACCATCTGTTTTTATCCCAGCTATCAGGCAACTCTCCTGACCCCACCATCTGTTTTTATCCCAGCTATCAGGCAACTCTCCTGACCCCACCATCTGTTTTTATCCCAGCTATCAGACAACTCTCCTGACCCCACCATCTGTTTTTATCCCAGCTATCAGGCAACTCTCCTGACCCCACCATCTGTTTTTATCCCAGCTATCAGGCAACTCTCCTGACCCCACTATCTGTTTTTATCCCAGCTATCAGGCAACTCTCCTGACCCCACCATCTGTTTTTATCCCAGCTATCAGGCAACTCTCCTGACCCCACCATCTGTTTTTATCCCAGCTATCAGGCAACTCTCCTGACCCCACCATCTGTTTTTATCCCAGCTATCAGACAACTCTCCTGACCCCACCATCTGTTTTTATCCCAGCTATCAGGCAACTCTCCTGACCCCACCATCTGTTTTTATCCCAGCTATCAGGCAACTCTCCTGACCCCACCATCTGTTTTTATCCCAGCTATCAGGCAACTCTCCTGACCCCACCATCTGTTTTTATCCCAGCTATCAGGCAACTCTCCTGACCCCACCATCTGTTTTTATCCCAGCTATCAGGCAACTCTCCTGACCCCACCATCTGTTTTTATCCCAGCTATCAGGCAACTCTCCTGACCCCACCATCTGTTTTTATCCCAGCTATCAGACAACTCTCCTGACCCCACCATCTGTTTTTATCCCAGCTATCAGGCAACTCTCCTGACCCCACCATCTGTTTTTATCCCAGCTATCAGGCAACTCTCCTGACCCCACCATCTGTTTTTATCCCAGCTATCAGGCAACTCTCCTGACCCCACCATCTGTTTTTATCCCAGCTATCAGACAACTCTCCTGACCCCACCATCTGTTTTTATCCCAGCTATCAGGCAACTCTCCTGACCCCACCATCTGTTTTTATCCCAGCTATCAGACAACTCTCCTGACCCCACCATCTGTTTTTATCCCAGCTATCAGGCAACTCTCCTGACCCCACCATCTGTTTTTATCCCAGCTATCAGACAACTCTCCTGACCCCACCATCTGTTTTTATCCCAGCTATCAGACAACTCTCCTGACCCCACCATCTGTTTTTATCCCAGCTATCAGACAACTCTCCTGACCCCACCATCTGTTTTTATCCCAGCTATCAGGCAACTCTCCTGACCCCACCATCTGTTTTTATCCCAGCTATCAGGCAACTCACCTGACCCCACCATCTGTTTTTATCCCAGCTATCAGGCAACTCTCCTGACCCCACCATCTGTTTTTATCCCAGCTATCAGGCAACTCTCCTGACCCCACCATCTGTTTTTATCCCAGCTATCAGGCAACTCTCCCACCATCTGTTTTTATCCCAGCTATCAGGCAACTCTCCTGATCCCACCATCTGTTTTTATCCCAGCTATCAGGCAACTCTCCTGATCCCACCATCTGTTTTTATCCCAGCTATCAGGCAACTCTCCTGACCCCACCATCTGTTTTTATCCCAGCTATCAGGCAACTCTCCTGACCCCACCATCTGTTTTTATCCCAGCTATCAGGCAACTCTCCTGACCCCACCATCTGTTTTTATCCCAGCTATCAGGCAACTCTCCTGACCCCACCATCTGTTTTTATCCCAGCTATCAGGCAACTCTCCTGACCCCACCATCTGTTTTTATCCCAGCTATCAGGCAACTCTCCCACCATCTGTTTTTATCCCAGCTATCAGGCAACTCTCCTGATCCCACCATCTGTTTTTATCCCAGCTATCAGGCAACTCTCCTGATCCCACCATCTGTTTTTATCCCAGCTATCAGGCAACTCTCCTGACCCCACCATCTGTTTTTATCCCAGCTATCAGGCAACTCTCCTGACCCCACCATCTGTTTTTATCCCAGCTATCAGGCAACTCTCCTGACCCCACCATCTGTTTTTATCCCAGCTATCAGGCAACTCTCCTGACCCCACCATCTGTTTTTATCCCAGCTATCAGGCAACTCTCCTGACCCCACCATCTGTTTTTATCCCAGCTATCAGGCAACTCTCCTGACCCCACCATCTGTTTTTACCTGACCCCACCATCTGTTTTTATCCCAGCTATCAGGCAACTCTCCTGACCCCACCATCTCCGTAGGATTCCCAGACATCCGCTGGCACCAGACAGCTGATGTTGGCTACGTCCCTAATCAAAAGATGGTCAACGTCTTCATGGCTGTGGCTATGGACTTGCCAGACTTTACATCCAGCTATGGAGCGTATGTATCTGTCATATGTCTGTTGAACACGTAGCAGTTTGTTGCCTTTTGAGCTGTCTGTCAGGTAGATGCTTTCTTACCTGTCTTTCATGACTGACCACTTTTAATTTTTTTTCTATTCTATTTTCTAGTTCCAGCTTTACACAAATTATTTTCCTATGTTTCTGGACTTTACTTTGCTTTATCATCTATGGACCATCATGGCTTCAAAATTGACTAATTTACATACCTTTCTTTACTCATAGTTGGTGATAATGTTTTATTGTATAAATAAAATTCTCAAACTCCACCTCTATCTACCACTACCAGTAGCCAACTGTTAAGCTCAATTAACAAAATTACAAACTCTGCCACCATCTACCACTTATGTTCAATCAATAAAATCTCAAACTCCGCCTCTATCTGCCAGTATTATGTTCAGTCAATAAAATCTCAAACTCCGCCTCTATCTGCCAGTATCTACCTGTTATGTTCAATCAATAAAATCTCAAACTCCGCCTCTATCTGCCAGTATCCACCCAAGAGACAAGAAAGATGTTGGCGCCAGATTGGCACTCAGTGGCCTAGCTGTTGCCTATGGTCAGTCTGAGGTCTTCCAAGGACCTTTCCCTGCCAAGGCCTACATATCCTCAGTAGGTCTTGTGGTGGACTACGGCAGCAGTTGGTCATTAAACATTAAAAACTGGGAGGGATTTGAGGTAAATTTACTTCAGTATTTCACAGTCAAATATTTTTCTCCCTGTATTTTGTTTCATAAAAATAATTTACTGCGCATAATTTCTGTAAGAAATTCTGTAAAAAAATAAGAAGCTCAGTTTAAATTTTTTTTTTTAAATTAAGGATTATTATAGTTTCATCTATAAAACCCAGTGAAATTTGTGTAGCAGTGTGGTATGGTAAAAGTTGACCCATTATTTAGGGTAGCTATAACAATGTGTTATGGTAAAAGTTAACCTACTATCTAGGATAGCTTCAGCAATGTTAAGGTAAAAGTTAACCCACTGTTTAGCATAGCTATAACAATGTGTTAGTGTAAAAGTTAACCTACTATTTAGCATAGCTATAACAATGTGTTAGTGTAAAAGTTAACCTACTATTTAGCATAGCTATAACAATGTGTTAGTGTAAAAGTTAACCTACTATTTAGGTTAGCTACAGCAATGTTAGGGTAAAAGTTAACCCACTATTTAGGGTAGCTACAGCAATGTTAGGGTAAAAGTTAACCTACTATTTAGGGTAGCTACAGCAACGTGTTAGGGTAAAAGTTAACCCACTATTTAGGGTAGCTACAGCAACGTGTTAGGGTAAAAGTTAACCCACTATTTAGGGTAGCTACAGCAACGTGTTAGGGTAAAAGTTAACCCACTATTTAGTGTAGCTACAGCAATGTGTTATGGTAAAAATTGACCCACTATTTAGGGTTGCTACAGCAATGTTAGGGTAAAAGTTAACCCACTATTTAGGGTAGCTATAGCCACGTGTTAGGGTAAAAGCAACCTGTTAACACCCCCTGTTGTCCCCTCCCTCAGCTCCAGTGTGGCAGCAACTGGGTACCAACCCCCTAACACCCCCTGTTGTCCCCTCCCTCAGCTCCAGTGTGGCAGCAACTGGGTACCAACCCCTATCATCTCCAGCAACCAGACGTCCGTCACCCTGTTCACAGGGACCTGTAAGCCAACTGTCACAGGCCTGCGCTACGCCTGGAGGGAGTCACCTTGTGCTATGCTACAGTGTGCTATTTATGAAAGCGTCAACAATTTGCCAGCTCCTCCATTTATTGCGTTTGCTAAAAATAGCAACGGAAAGCCTTATTTTACCTTTGATGAACCAGCTTATTTATGATAATTTTCAGAATAAATTATTTTAATTTTTTAGTTTCTCAGCTTGCTCTATTTACATATCTTGTGATTAGATCACTGTGTGTTATTTTATTTTACAACTTAAAATGTTGAAAGTATTCTTCAAATTAAACAATATGAATTTGTAATTTTTTATTATTACTAATTATGCTTGATAAACCTCTACCCCATCCTCTTATACTTAAAATTAACCTTTTTGAATAGCTTATAAACTGCCTATTAAATTTTTAATCCAATAAATTAGCTGAATGCTTCAACAGGTATTGCAAACTACACTTTTGGTTGCTTTTTCTATGGTTGCAAGTATTATTTTGGAATTTTTCTAATGTTGAATTCTTTTCAGCAAAAATATTTATACCATTTTCCTTCAATCAAACTGTTTTCACTAGAATATGTAATTGTTTTAATAATATAATCAATTTTTTATCATAATTGTTTTAAAATATGATCAATTTTTTATCAAGTTGTTAAGCCTTATGTGGCCCTAACATTAACTGTCACAAGCAAGGTTTAACTCTGTTAATGACAGACATTGTTGAAAGTTTATTGTATTTTACATGTTTGGGACATTCCTTACATTAATGTTTGATAATAATAATAAAAGAAAGGTTTTATATTCAGTCTCATATTTTTCATTTCAAAGAATTGTTGTTGTAATTAAAGTGTCATAACAAAAAATATTTACAGCTGCCATTGTTTTGAAGAGAGATTAATCAGTTGATGTGCTCAAGGCCATAACACTACTGATCCCCATGACATGGGACGTCCTAGAGTCTATATTGTTTATTCTATAATTCAAAACCTACCAATCACTTAACCATAATCAGAGATTCTTTTTTGTCCCTGTTTTTTTTTGCAATGATTCAAAAATAATTTTATCAGTTTAAGTTCTGTGGTAGCCTACTATCAATCAAAACATGGTTAATCAGCAAATACAGAGCTCAGCCTTCAGTAACCATATCTTAACTAGCTGATAACTGGTTGTAAGACAGATAAAGAGATACATTGAAACTACTGTTATTTTCTATATTATTACAGTATCTGTAGATACTTGACTTGTAACCTACCATTAGACTAGGTGATAACAGTTGACATTATTCTTTTAATTTTCGTCTCATCTTTATGCCTAATTAATCAAAATTCTTTAATTTTGTGATCTTTCATACACCTTACTCATATCTTCTTTTTTTTTCCATTTTCTCCGCCTCAACACATTTTTCTATTTACACATTTCTTTAGCTCAACACACTAATGCTCCTTCCATTACCCTCTTCAATTTTTTGACTTTGACCCCCTTGTAATAAATCTCTATCTAAATATGACAAGTTTGACCTTCTGATTAGTTTTACTGATAATACATTAAATGGTGTTGATCTTAATATTTCAAATGTTATCAAACTATTAACAGCCTTGACATCAAATAAAAATGTAAGTAAGTAAAAAAGTGAAGTTTCCCTTTCAAACCTGACGGTCTATGGGGCAAGTGAAGTAGAGTTCACTTGTTTCTGTGACCTCGGCATATGAAGAGATAGTGTGGTCAGCACTATGCCCAGCCACCTTTACTTTCCCCAACGTGAGTTAGGTACCCATCTGAGTTGGGTGGACTCAGGGACGGTCTACTGACTTGAACCCGGATTCGAACTCGAGACTTACGGGTTAGCAGACCAGCTCTCTACCGCTAGACCACTCCGTCCCATAAATAAAATTGTGATTGGTTGCAATTTCATAGTTGGGCTCAACAACAGTAGTGTAAGCAGTGTGGGGTTAGTAGAATTACCCCCCCCCTTGTTATGAATCCATGTAAAGCTAACTGAACTATGACAAGGTTATTAATATTATTTAGTGTTTAAAGATACTAACAGTAACAGTTAACAACCAAGTAGTATGCATTTTCATGATTCATGTGTTAAAAGATTAAATCTTAACTATAGTATTTATAGCCATAGGTTTAAAACTCTCTTTCTCCCCCCCCCCCCCCCCCCCCCCCCCCACACAAACTTGAAGCTGTCACCTGGCTGTTTTCCAAACAGCTGTGACAGCTAATTCAACATCACTGGCAGAACTAAAATATGTTTAAAACATGAGACTTTGAAATAGTCTTCTGTCAAACTCTAAAAATGTACTCAATAACTTAATGCTTGTATGACTTGATCAAGTTAATTGTGTTGAGTACAGGCAATTAGAAAAGCTAGTTTGCTTCCACATACCTATTAACACTAGCCCAGTAAACCATTGCCTCTTTACTTAAAATAACAACTGAGAAACTTCTTGTGGCGTTTATAGACTGGACAAAAGCTTCAAGCCACAAAGAGGTTAAAGCAGTTGGATGGATTACACATTCCTTAGGATAAGCTATATCAGAGCCACAGTTTCAGGCATCCTCTGCTCCCACAAAATGAAATAGAAGTTATAAAGAAGGTATATTCTTTTACCAGCCTCAATACACTCAAGTTTTAAGTAACCCCCACTCCCTTCAAATTTTGTTGAAAGAATGTTGTTTAGAATTGTCAGAGTTCAAGGGAAGCATCACATTTCACTGAAGCTTCAAACTTTAAGTTGGCTTCTTTATTTTAATAAATGATAAAGTGATAGAAAAATATACCACCATCATCTGTATTGTAATACCAGTACATAATTGGTAAGTACAAAAAGTTCTTAAAAACTAAAAAACAAGAAAACATAACTATACAAAATTTTATTACTGATTATTATACAAAGTCTATAGGATTTTGCTTAAGCTGACCTCTTTCTCACATCAACTTGACCCTCAGGAGTCCCAAAGTAAACAGCATCTGCCATATCTAAAAATAACCCAGTGTCAATAACCCCTGCAATATTTAACAAAACTTTATTTACCTCTTCCCAGTTCTGATCCCCCTCAAATAACCAATCAATCAAAAAATTGCCATTGTCCGTAACAACTGGACCTGCTTTATTCACAGCCATTCTCAACACTGCTTTCCCTCCTAGAAGATGCACGATTTTTAACTGCACAGGTTTGTAAGCCATAGGTAGGACTTCAATAGGCAGACCTTTCTTCCAAGTGGTACCAAGAGACTGAGAGTTTTTTCTAGAATCAGCTATGACAATGAACTGTTTAGCACAGGAGGCAATAACCTTCTCCTGCAACAAACAACCACCCCCGCCTTTAATTAAGTTCATCTTGTTATCAACTTCATCAGCTCCATCAATTGCTATGTCAATCTCTGGTGTATTTTCAAGACTGCCCAAAGTTAATCCGTGATCATTGATCAACTGACGGGCCTGAAATGAGGTTGGGATACAAATAAGATTCAGCTTTTCTAGCTTGTTTCTTTCAGCTATCCGATGAACTGCATAAACTATGGTTGAACCGCTGCCGATTCCGACAACTTGATGGTGCTTAATGTAGTCATCAACAGATTTATAAGCAGCAGCAACTTTCCCTGCTTCAACTGGGTCTGACATGCTTCTAAATGATAGTGCAGATTTGACTGGATTAAATAATTTCAATGTTTGTAAAAGGTATGCAGTTCTGAGATTCTGGAAAGATGCATACATACCACATCTGAAAAAAATAGTAGTAGTATTAAAAATTATGGAGAAAAATACCTTTAACATTGTAATTATTCAGGGCAAAGAAGCATTAAGTTGACATTAAAAGGTTAATAAATGCTATCTAATCCTTAGGCAAGATTCTAAGTTAATAATAATAATAGTTAAATTAAGAGTCTGTCTGGCTAGTCCCTAATCTAATAAATTAATAGACCCTATATATAATTTTACTATGATTGGGCCAACTATTCATAGTTATTATTATTAGGCCATTTAATTATCAATCCTATCTTATCTAGTATCTGGCTTTCTGGCAAATAGACTATAGAGAATATCTAGATTTAGATATAGTCTCAAGAATTTTAAGAAAAACTTAACACTGCACACTTAATTCTAATTAAAAGCAAATTAGTCTACACTGACTCTTGCTCTACACTTTCTATAACTCCTTACTACAAGTCATAAGCCATCTCTATAGTAGTGTAGTCTACTATAGTCTACTAGTAATGGGTCTTGGGAAAAAGCAAGACACAAAATGGCAAGATGATAAAAGAGATGGGTAAAAAAACCACCAGTTATGTGACATTTTTATCTAAACTTACCCCCGCCTGATTGTTTCCCTGGGAGGAGGTAAAATGTGAAGATGTCTGCAAAAATTATACCCTACCCCAATTGTAATGTGCTTATGATATACATGACATAACGCCTTTTATTTTAATTTATATTGCTACAACCTAAGCTCCGTTTCGGATTAAATAACTTTTTCTTTTGTGTTGTTGGTTGGTTTGAAGCACCAACTTGTTCAAAACTGTCTGATATTCAGCCTTTGTTATGTAAGGCTGTAAAAAAAATATAAGACTTGTGATCTTGTTAAGAACTATTAACTCTAGAACATCTAAAACAACAACCCAAGACCAAAAAGTTCTTGGAAATCATGTCTTGCTTTTCACCTGTAATTTTGCAGGTATATCTAAAAAAAATTTCCTAATTGCCATTTTGCAATTTACCAAGACCCACTTGTTACTAGATCTAGCACTACTACTACTCATATCAATCAAATAAATAAATCATTTAGATCTAGATCTAGGTAATAAAAATATTATTTGTTAAGCTATAAGCAGATCTACATCATTAAGATAATAAAATTATTACTAAGCCTATAGAATCTAACAGATCTAGATAATAAATTAACAAATAGGCCTAACCAAAATCACCGCCTCAATTTCAAATTTAACCGGAAACGAAAATTATAATTGACAACAGATTTTTATCCAGAATCTGCATTTTAAACCGGATTTGACCTTGATATACGAATAGTTACTGCACTTTTTTATACTAAATATAGTCGTAGTCATACCCCTAAACTTAAACCGTGCACCTAGGGTCAAACTTGACAAAAGTAGCACTTTGTTTCCGTTTTCCCAGGGTGTTAGGTTGCTGGTAGTTAACTAAAAAATACACACATGGCTGGCTAATAATTTCAATGCTAACCCTGTCCCTAACCCCAACCGTGGTTCTACCATACGCCTAACGTTAATTACTAGTAATTACCATGATTAAATGATTAGTTGATTAGTTGAGATTACAATACTACTAACAACCCAACACCCCTTTTTTAAAGAAGACTCCATTATAGGACACCGGTATCTATAATCATCCAATTGAATATGGAGAATATTATAAACTTTTGCCTTTAACCCCCCCCCCCCCCTTAACCCTAAGCGGCGAATAAAATAAACTAAAATTTGCGGCTAAAATCATCCGACAGTGACAGTGAGTGTTACGTTACACAGTCAAATACTCTCAAATACTCTTGATTTAAATTTAAGAAATATAAAATCTTCTAGATCTAGATCTAGACTCTAGATCTGTCTACCCAGTTTTATGATGTGGAATATCTAGATCTAACTAATCTAGATCTAGATCTAGATCTAGAAACTAAATTTTTCAGTCGATCCAAATAATACCTAACAAAAACAGACCAGAAGATCTAATAATTGCCAGATAAAATACGTGTACTGAAACTAAAATGAAATAAACAAAATTGACACATTGTAATGTATTTTAGTTGATAGATAGGCGCGTAGTTTCCAACATAGTGTCCATGTTAACGTTATTGAGAAATGAATACGTCATTAAAATTATGCTTAGGGGTCGTAAATAAATGTCGTTACACTCTTAGGGGGAGGGGGGTCAGTATTTTTGTGACGGTGTGTGATGAGGTGGAGGGGGGAGGGAATGTTCAGATGTTGTGACGTCACTAAGAAATGCTAGAAAACGAGTTTTAACCGTTATTTCGCGTTTTATAAAACTGTTTAAATAAACTGTAACAGGAATTGATTAAAATACTCTATGTTGACAGAATTCAAACAATATTCTAGAAAAAAATTTTCATTGTTTTAAGAAAAATTCAACTGCAATTTTGAGCGGGGTTGTAGGCTGAGGTGTGACGTCATTTTCTGGGGAGAGGGGGTCTGGCTTTTTGTGACAATGTGTGATGGAGGGGAGGGGTGAGATAAAAATCCTCAAAAAATGCGTGATGTCATTTATGGATGTCCCCTTAAACCACATCAATATGTAATATGTAATTATTACATAGCTTCGCAAGTTTGTTATAATGTTTTGAATTAAAAAGTATAATTCAAAGAAAAATATTAATCTAGTTAGTAGATCTAGTTACTAATGCAGTTTTTCTTTACAAAAGAATTCATCAATCAGCATCGTATCACCGACTTACATGTTATTTTTTTCTACACTAAACACAAGCCTACTCTGTGTAGCAGATCATAGATCTAGAATACATCTTTATCCTTCTCTACAGTCTACAGCCGTGTTTGAAATAGGCGGCGGCGGAGGAGAGACGTATGATTGTATGCTGAAGTGTGATGTCAGCGGGGTGAGGGTGGGGTGATTTTTTGTGACAATTTGTAAAAAGAGGTGGCAGGGGGGGGGAATTTCAAAAGCTTTACGTCATTTTTGATCGTTTTTAAGTGTACACGCACTAGATCATACACATTGTAGACATACAGAAAGGCTGTTGTACAATATAGTGGACGAACAATGCTTTAGCTATACACATTCAGAGGCGCCAAAATGAGTTGGACAAAAATTAAAAAAGCTCATTTTAGCTGCATTTTTGTATTATAAATGTAAAAAAATGTATGGGGGGGGGGGGGGGGGGGGGGGGGGGAGGCGCCAAATTGAAAGTTTGTCCCCGGGCGCGGGGAAGGGTCGCTACGCCTCTCAAACGTCTACGGCGTTTATGTACCAATTGTTAACGTAGCGGAGTGCTAGTCTATATCTGACTATATCAGTATTAAAAATATTGAAGTAGGCTGCGTTTTGTGTGTGTGTGTGTGTGTGTGTGTGTGGTGGGCAGGGATGCTGAAGGTTTAATAGAGTTTTTAAAAATAATAATATAATAATAATAATATACTAATTTCAATAATATTAATATTGAAGTAAACAAAATAGTTTATTAAAACATATTTATTGGTCAATTTAGTATTTAGATTTATGTCCGAATCACATATATTTAGAAAACAATTACGTTGAAAAAAATAGATTAAATAAAAATAAACAAATCGTTTTGATACTTTTAAAAAGGAAAATCTGTCAAATGTGTTGTGGTCGATCAAATGTAAAGTAAGGATTCCCCACTTGGTCATAATCAGCATAAGACACAAATGGTGGAGCCGGAAGTCCCTTAGATGTCTCATATACTGCGCACTTATGTAATGCGCAAGGCGATTCGCTCCAAGCGTAGCGAATGCCAGTTATCTTTTCTCCTGTGTTGCATACGTTGGCCGAGTTGACCGTTACGGTGGTCTGGGTGTGAGCAGTGATGCTTGTGGCAACCCAGCGTGCATGTGAGCATTGAACCTGTGAGAAAACAGTTTTCATTTGAAATGGGATTGCTATATTTGGTATAGGCCAACTGTATAAGTCTGACCAAGTAAAACTTCTGTACAGTGTTTCTTCCCGACTTTTTTTTCTCCGGGAGGGGGTGGTGGGGGTGGGTTGGTGGGGGCACTTGAAATTCTCGAGGGGGGGGGGGGTGGGGACACTGTTAAAAGTATATATGTTCTATAAAAATTCTATTTAGTTCGGGGAGCAGAGCCCCCACCCACTCCCCCGGAGAGAAGCCTGGAAGAAACTCTGCTTCTGTATACCATGACGACAGCTAACAATGGTGTCTAACGACCTACTTAGCGTCGGATTCAACATGGCTATCATTTATTTCTATACAAAGTTAGTCTCTATTTTACGCACCTCGACACTCCCCCCCCCCCCCCCCCCGCCATGCAACTTATATTTAGGGTTTATGATGCAGAATTTAATTATGTATGAATCATATTAAAAACTATCAAATCAATATTTATCAACTTTACATCAAATTTAGTAGTGAGAGATCACCAAATCAACATCGATCAAGTTTACCTCAAATCCAGAGTTGACTCTGATCTCCAGGGTCCAGGTGGTGCCGTAGTCTATGACCAGACCTGCAGGGGTCAGGCTGGAACCCGAGGGTAGCGGCCCCTGGAATAAACCGCCCTGGTTGTAGGCCACTGCCAACCCGCTGATCGCCAACCTGTCTCCAATGTCCTTCTTGTAACGTGGGTGGATTCTAAAAGGGGAAAATGGTTGTACTGGCTTCACAGAACACATTGATCTACTTCGTAGTTGTTTATCTAGGGATCGTATACACAGAGGCGCAGCGAGGGAAGGGGGCGGGGGGGGGGCATATGTCCCCGGGCGCCGACCTAAGGGGGGGGGCGCCAAATTGAAAGTTCGAGCGGGGGGGGGGGTGCAAATCGAAAGTTTGTCCCCGGGCGCCGGGAAGGGTCGCTACGCCTCTGCGTATACATTACACACAGCAAGTAGGGAAATTAGAGGTGCTGTATTTTTCATTATACGGATTTATTGGGTAAGGTGGTGATATATGAACGTTGCCCTTGATTTTATCTTTCTTTAAACTAAACTCCTGCTGTTTAGAATAGTTGGATGAATAGAAAAAAAACACTACTAGTTCAAAGCTTTTCTTCTTTTAACAAAATTTAACTCACTAAGACTAAAATAGAATGTTTCTATGATATAACATACGGTTTACTCTACAATGATATGTATCTTGTTTGTGTTTTAACATATGCTGAGAACCTCAAAGAAAATACCCCCCCCCCCCCTCCAAAGACTGGAGCTGCAAATTGTATGAAAAACTAATGTATTTCTTTTTAAGAAGCTCTAGCTACTTCGAACTATCCTAAAACCCTACCAGAAAACAGAGATGAGGCACCATTACAACAGTAAAACACTTCTCCACTAGCTAGTTAAAATATGGTTAGAAGGTATGCCAGTGGTTCTAGATGACAACGTGTTTTGGTTGTCATAGTTACTCACGCGCCGGATGGCGAGTCGAAGTCCGGCAAGTCCATAGCCACGGCCATGAAGACGTTGTTGAGGTCAGGGTTGGGGACGTAGCCCCGGTCAGCTGTCTGGTGCCAGCGGATGTCAGTAAATCCTGACGTAGGTCCTGGGCTCGGGGAGTTGGGTGCCAACTAGAACAAGGTTTTAGACTGTCAGTTGTGTGTAGAAGGTGTGTGGGTGGGGGGGGGGGGGTGTAAGCTACATTCTTTGTCCAGATATTTGGTATACAGTTATAGTGTTCATCTTAAAAAAAACACGTACAGTTAGGCACATTAATTAGTATTATTACAGCGAGAATTTTAAAAAAGAAAGCTAAGTGTAGAAAATAATCTCTCTAAAAATGTGATATTACAAAACCCCGACACAAACACTCAGACAAAAACCTATTTACTAAAAGAAGCCCGACATAAGTCACATACCCCCCCCCCCCCCCCCCCACACCATTCCGACATAAACACCTTGACTAAAAAACGCGAGGATGAAAACAATCTATGAAGTAAATGTATGACCAACCTTCCACGTAACGATTGAGTGTTATGAAAGTGTATGAGTAAACCTATCGCTAACCATTGGACCGTGGCACTAGATCGCCCATAGAACCTGACCTGTACAAATCTAAACGGAAAGTTGCCTAACCATTGGACCGTGGCACTAGATCGCCCATAGAACCTGACCTATACACATCCAAACGGAAAGTTGCCTAACCATTGGACCGTGGCACTAGATCGCCCATACAACCTGACCTGTACAAATCCAAACGGAAAGTTTGCGCTGGTCTGGCCGTTAGATGCACGGTTAAAGTTTGCTCTCCAGTCTTTTATCATGGCTGGGAAGGTGCAGTTGTAGCGGTTCACGGCTGGTGGGCCGGCGTCAGATTCACCTGTAGGTACCAGACACGATGCCATACGGTCAACAGGTAAATATTACGTCATCGCGATACTCCAGGCGCTGATTTATGTCTGACTAACCGTCAAGGATTACTGAATAAATTTAATCTGACTAATGGTCAAGGCTTACTGAATAAATTTAATCTGACTAATGGTCAAGGCTTACTGAATACATTTAATCTGACTAATGGTCAAGGCTTACTGAATAAATTTAATCTGACTAATGGTCAAGGCGTACTGAATAAATTTAGTTGCTAAATTTCGAAAAACTAAAATGCAATGCAGTTAAAAAAGAAAGTATGGATTTGAAGAATTTTAAATAGACGTGTTAGGTTTTACATCACGCACGCCCCCCCCCCCCCCTCACAGCCATGGTACCCCAATCTCTTGGACTGACCTTGGTACCAGATGGCGCCGTAGATCGTCATCCCCAGCAGGGGGTGTATCATAGAGTTCCACAAGACAGACTTTTCTGATGGCGCCTCAAGTCTGCGGCGTACTTCCGGTGGCTGTTGCTCCAGGTATCTGCAGGTAAAATAGAAATGATCTGGTGCTGAACTATACAGGTGTCAAATGTGCACACGTGCGGGGAAAGGGAGGGGTGGGTTTAAAAGTATAATTTTTGTAAAGCTTAATGTGATTATTAAAGTATTTAGACTATTTTCAGAGTCGTGAAAATTAAGGATATGGTTATTAATCTGACTGGACAATAACAAAACAACTGACTTTATGTAGGAATCTGATTGGACAATGACAAAACAACTGACTTGATGAATGAATCTGACTGGACAACGACAAAACAACTGACTTGATGTATGAATATGATCGGACAATAACAAAACAACTGACTTTATGTACGAATCTGATTGGACAATGACAAAACAACTGACTTGATGTATGAATCTGGTTGGACAAAAACAAAACAAATGACTTGATGAATGAATCTGATTGGACAATAACAAAACAACTGACTTGATGTATGAATCTGATTGGACAATAACAAAACAACTGACTTGATGTACGAATCTGGTTGGACAATAACAAAACAACTGACTTGATGTATGAATCTGATTGGACAACGACAAAACAACTGACTTGATGTATGAATCTGATTGGACAATAACAAAACAACTGACTTGATGTATGAATCTGATTGGACAATAACAAAACAACTGACTTGATGTATGAATCTGATTGGACAATAACAAAACAACTGACTTGATGTACGAATCTGGTTGGACAATGCTAGGATTGTCATGGATACCACAGGACGCCAGAGCCTCAGGGGAGGACCACGCCTGCACGGGGGTGCCGCCCCAGTCTGTAGCCACCAATCCTATGGGGTAGTTTTTGGCCTTGAAGATTGCCTTGCCATAGAGCCAGCAGACGGCTGAGAAATACGTCCAAGCGTCGTGGCCGATAGAACCTGGGGTAGACAGACATCTCAACATTAGAAAACTATGGTTTGTCTAATTATAAAGACACGTATTGATTTAACAATAATTAATAGCTTATTATAGACATTACTTTAACTGATTTAAAGGCTTTTTTTAGAGGACAAAGCGAATTTTTTTTTACATGGAAGTTAGGCCTTAATACAGCTTTTATAATTAAACAATTAATTAAATATTAACGTAAGTTAATTAGAGCTAGAAATTAATTATCAATGCGTTTCGGCCATTTTAGCAAATAAAAAAATAAACCACAGGCTCAATAAGAGTTTATTCGATCTCGTACTAAACCGTCAAGTCCAGTGTTTCTTGCAGACTTTTTTCTCCGGGGGGGCACTAGAAATTTTCGGGGGGGCGGTAGACTTTCTTCGGGGGGGCGGACACTGTTAAAAGTATATATTTTCTATATAAATTATATAAATTTCATTTCGTTCGGGGGGGGCGGTAAAAATTTTTCGGGGGGGCTTCGCCCCCCCGAAGAGATGCCTGGAAGAAACTCTGGTCAAGTCTCCTGCAAAATCCATTATCATTGGTTGGTTTATGTAGCCTACCCTAGGCGACAAACTTGAAAACTGATTTGCTGAAACTTGGTTACGGAAAGAATTTATACGTGCAACTCCTTGAAAAAGAAACTATTTTCTCTGGGATGTTGGAGTAAAGGTTAGGGTTGATTATATCTCATCCTTACTGCTGTCAGCTTTAATCCATGATTGTTCTACTTTAATGAGGTCATACTGGGGCGTGGCAGCTTCGTCCATGTTGACGGTCATCAGGCGGATGTTGGGGTAGTTGTGGGCATCTGCCATCTCCTCGGTGGCCACGTCGATCTGACAGACAGTCAAACAAACAAACATCAGGCAAATATACAAAACTTTTACGGCAATGTTATAGTTTTTAACCTCGTCTTTTAATTTACAGTCCTAATCATTTGTTGGCTTGTAATGTGTTGTACAATATATTTGCTACTATAAATTACTTTTACAATAGCGGAAAAACGTCTTTAAAAACAAGTTTCCTGGGAAAATAATACATAAATATGAAAACACTGGACTGAAATACAATATTAATGCAAGGCGTTTGGTGGTGGAGTGTCTATTTATGTGAAAACATATTTTCTTGCGATATTTCACAATAAAACTCAGCATCAATTTAAAGTTGTTTTTGAGTGACGTAGTTGGGTAAAAGAACCTGGGGCAGGTTGCCGTTATGCTCCAACATTAAAGGATAAAAAATGATGGCCTTGATGACGTTTACCAACAGCTATGCACCACCCAGCACCGTCCAGCACCACCCAGCACAACAAAACACCACCCAGCACAACACAGCACCACCCAACACAACACAACACAACCTATGCTGCTCTACTGAAAACAAAGTTAACATTGATGAACCTAAAATGACCGAGGCTACTCACCGAGATAACGGTCATCTGCATGTTGGACTGACCAGAGCAGATCCAGACGTCACCGAACAAGACGTCATCAATGGTCAGGGACACGCCCTCTGACGTCACCCTGATTGTGGCCACAGTCGTGGGTCCGAACGGGTCCAGCAGGACGTTCCACTGACCCAGCCCGGGTTCGGGACCTTGTCGCACCGTAGTCTCGTAGTTGTAGGTTTGTGTGGGCGGGGTCGTTGTCAGCTGTCACATAGGTTACCATGGCAACAGTTAGTGCAATGTATGCGTGGATGATTGGTACATTTCTGTTCAATCCATCGTATATTAGCAAAACGCTGTTATTTTACTTGAGATTGAAATAGTTAGATAGTAGAAAATACTAACCTAAACATTTCTATCTGAAATTTTATTTTTCAACAATTTTGCTACTAGTTTAAAACTAAGCTATAAACTTCCATTTGTCTTATATGTCTTGATCGCTTTAAGAAATAACACTAAAATGAAGAACTATTTTCTATTTTAAAGCTAAAAGCTAAAAACGTATCCTTTGTACGGGGAGAAATCGTGTGATATGGGGGGGGGGGGAGGAATGGTGTGATGTGTAGGGGGAATGATGTGATGTGTATATGTGTGGAGGGATGGTGTGGTGTGTGGGGGGAAATGGTGTGATGTGTAGGGGATCGTGTGATGTATAGGGGGGATGGTGTGATATGTAGGGGGAAATGGTGTGATGTGTGGGTGGTATGGTGTGATGTGTGGGGGGAAATGGTGTGATGTGTGGGTGGTATGGTGTGATGTGTGGGGGGAAATGGTGTGATGTGTGGGGGGATGATGTGATGTGTGGGGGATGGTGTGATGTGTAGGGGGAAATGGTGTGACGTGTAAGGACGAAAGATTTGAGCATGTCGTACCTGTAACGTAACTTTCTGCCCTATGGAGGGAGAGAAGCCGTAGACGTTCGCCCTCTGTGGTGCCTGCTGTAGCACCATGTGGCTCTGGAAATGTTTGGCCAGGCTGAAAGTAACTGCAGCTAAGTCGGTCGTCTGATCTTTGTAGAACTCTTCTGAGAGTGAAACAAAGTACATTTTGTTTCAAACTTTACAATTCACCGTAGAGGTGTGATAACATGAAAATAGCGGTTTAAAAAGTGGAACAAATTTTGACTTAAAGTACGGTTTTCAGTCTGAATATCATGAATGCGGAAACAACTTGTAAAATACTTGAGGCTAGAAATGTTGGATTAGACTTTCTAAAATACAGACGTTTAATATTGCAAGTTAAATAAGACCCCTTACAATACACTGCCTTGTAGAGTTTTCTCATTAAAAACCTTTCTCGAGGTATGTTAGTTTGGTCAGATTTAAGTTTAAAAAAAAACAATAGTTTAGCTATATAGGCATAAAAAGAACGAAGAACTACAAAGTATAATAGTTCGGACTGCAGTAAATATAATAACATCAAATTTATTGGGATTCATCCTTTTGGGCAACACACATAGACTATATCTCATATCTGATCATTATTTATAACGGATCTCTGTAGGCAATGGTAAATAAAAACTGGACAAAAACTTATTGACAAAGAAATACAAAAGTGCAACTGGAGACTAAATATATCTTGCACAAACCAACATGCAACCTCACCAGACAGGCAATATACTGATATCTTCAAGAAAAAAAAGCGTAAAGTAGGTAGGCTAAATCAAACTTGGAAAAGACCAGTTCCCAGTGAAGCATAAACAGCAGGAATGTCAAGGGCCCAACATGGAGGCATCGTCGCTACGTTTTTGATGATGATGATACTGAAGATGATGATGATGATGATGATAATGAAGATGATGATGATGATGATGATAATGAAGATGATGATGATAATGAAGATGATGATGATGATGATGATGATAATGAAGATGATGATGATGATGATGATGATGATGATGATGATGATGATGATGATGATGCTGATAATGAAGATGATGATGATGATGATGATGATGATAATGAAGATGATGATGATGATGATGATGATGATGATGATGATGATGATGATGATGATGATGATGATAATGAAGATGATGATGATGTTGATGATAATGATGATGATGATGATGATGATGATGATGATGATGATGATGATGATGATGATGATGATGATGATGATGATGATGATAATGAAGATGATGATGATGATGATGATGATGATGATGATGATAATGATGATGATAATGAAGATGATGATGATGATGATGATAATGAAGATGATGATGATGTTGATGATAATGAAGATGATGATGATGATGATAATAATGATGATGATGATAATGATGATGATAGGTGCGTCCAGACATAACACACTAACCAAAGCTAGATACATTCTAATTCTGTGTTTACAAAAGTGATCAATGAGAACGATTTAGGTGTGGATGAGGGTGAGAGAGGGGGGGGGGGACGACTTACTTTCGACCTCCTGTGACATGTGAAACACATCCATCCCCAGAGTTCCATGGTGGGACCACGTCACCAGACACAGCAACAAAACTACCAACGGCTTCATCTTTAAAGCCGATCACAGAAACATTGAAGTATCACTGTGACGGTTCGCGGACCATGAAGATAAACATCTGATAAAAACAATCTGGTCACGTGGTAGGATAGATCAACCGATACCGTTTGTTATGGCCTGATTATAAACATACGATAGCTTGATAAGATATCCAATGATGTTAATTAAACTATTGTATGTTAGGTGACCTATAATCTTTACAGACTTTAATAAACCGGGAGTGATCTCCCCTAAACTTTCTCGAATATTCGTATATAACTCGGAATATAGACATGATTTTTAATTACTTAAACTTTTAAAAATAGAATAGAATCTATTAGAAAAAAGAATTGCGCACCAAGCAAACGCCAAAACAAAATGTGCATAATAATGCGCAATATTATTAGTACTTTTTAAATTTACATGCGTTTTTAGCTCACGGGGGGGGGGGGGGGGAGCCAGGGACGCCGGCTGATGCACCTGTGCAGTTTGACCGTTGAATTCAGCAGTAATCCTGAATTCAGCAATTAACTGACCCCATGTGCTAAGAAAGCCGCTGGGAAACTCTGGGTGGCAAACTGAACCGCCTTACTGTCAAGGAGCCGCTCATCGGACAAAAAAAAAAATTAATGGCAGAAAACCTTATAGGAGTCAGAGTTTCTATCTGGCTTCTCTTCGAGGGTGAGGCACTACACCTCTTGTGTGGGGTTGTGGTAGGAAATTTCACGGTCAGTAGAGGTTTGTCTGAATTATTCTAAACGACTTCCCAATGTTTCTTGGCGATTACATCGTTTTTGTATTAATGCATAAAGGGCCGGCGCTACCTATAAAGCGAACTAGGCGGTCGCCTAGAGCGCTATCCCTAGGAGGGGGGGGGGGGGGCAAAAAGGTTCAATCGCTATTTTTAAAAAGTACCTAATAATTAATAACTTTGATTATCTTTTATAAACTACAAGCTGACCTGCGACGTATCATACGCCGCTATTTAGTTTAATTCCTATTTTTCAGTAACTCATAATTTGTGAATTCGACGCTACCAATGGTGTGACTGAAAATATTTTGCTTTAAAACACTATTAGTGGCTAGTGAGGGACGATTATCCTCACCCTCACTTTCAATTCCTCTATTAAAAATCATGTCTATAGCCCGAGTTCCCATCCCCTGTTGTTTTCGAGAAAGTTTAGGGGAGACCACTCCCGGTTTATTTTTCTTTCTTTACGGAGGTGTCTCCCCTAACCCGGCAGCCCTAAACACGGTCAACCTTCTCTTAGCGTTCTCTAATGGATGTTTTTTATCGTGTTTAAAGTTGTTTTTCTTTATAATATTTTTTAATGAGTTTTGAAAATAATATAAAATAATTATTAATATTTATGCATAGAACTGGATAGCCGCATCTTGACATCAAAAGAGCCGACCCCTGGTTTAAGATGATCATAGCTCCATACTAAAAAAAAATACGTGATATATAACTCAAGCATTTACTTATTAAAACATGCAAAACACAAGTCCCATTTCTTAGTATATTAAACCGATAAATATATATATATATATATATATATATATATATATATATATATATATATATATATATATATATATATATATATATATATATATATGGACTAGTATTACTTTTTTTTTTTCACGAACGTATGTCTAACCCTAACTAATCTGTAGTTTTACATAATTGTCTACTATCTATTTTCAGTAGGCTGATGTCCTTTTCTAACTATTGTACTGTCCTATTCTATCTAACATAGTGCCCTACCTTAACTACTCTACTGTCCTATCCTAACTATGGGAGGTTTCAAACAGTGTTTCTTTGAGACTTTTTTCTCCATGTAGGGAGGGGTGCTAGATATTTGGGGGGGGGGGGGTCTGATTAAATTTAGCGTGGTAGGGATTTTCTATATAGGCCCACATTATGTTTCGTTCGAGGTTTTATCAAGTTATCTGTATAGTCGGTACACGGTTTCATGTTGTCGATGACTGCAGTGATCGGTTAAACAGTTGTGAGGTGAATTAGACACCTGAACAGTAGATTACTTGAGTGTTAAAGAAGACACCAACACAATCTCAAGTCAGCAACTTTAATTTAAAGGGTGGTGAAACTAAGCACAACATGATAGTCTTAGTATGTTCTAAAGAACAGGATAACCCAACCCCTGCCTGACCCCAGCTTCATCCTAAGGTAACCCAACCCCCGCCTGACCCCACCTTCACCCTAAGGTAACCCAAACCCTGCCTGACCCCAGCTTCACCCTAAGGTAACCCAACCCCTGCCATAACCCCAGCTTCACCCTAAGGTAACCCAACCTCTGCCTAACCCGTACTTCACCCTAAGGTATCCCAACCCCTGCCTGACCCCAGCTTCACCCTAAGGTAACCCAACCCCTGCTTGACCCCAGCTTCACCCTAAGGTAACCCAACCCCTGCCTGACCCGTACTTCACCCTAAGGTATCCCAACCCCTGCCTGACCCCAGCTTCACCCTAAGGTAACCCAACCCCTGCTTGACCCCAGCTTCACCCTAAGGTAACCCAAACCCTGCCTGACCCCAGCTTCACCCTAAGGTAACCCAACCCCCGCCTGACCCCAGCTTCACATTAAGGTAACCCAAACCCTGCCTGACCCCACCTTCACCCTAAGGTAACCCAACCTCTGCCTGACCCATACTTCACCCTAAGGTAACCCAACCCCCGCCTGACCCCACCTTCACCCTAAGGTAACCCAACCTCTGCCTGACCCATACTTCACCCTAAGGTAACCCAACCCCCGCCTGACCCCAGCTTCACATTAAGGTAACCCAAACCCTGCCTGACCCCAGCTTCACCCTAAGGTAACCCAACCCCCGCCTGACCCCAGCTTCACCCTAAGGTAACCCAAACCCTGCCTGACCCGACCTTCACCCTAAGGTAACCCAACCCCTGCCTGACCCCACCTTCACCCTAAGGTAACCCAACCCCTGCCATAACCCCAGCTTCACCCTAAGGTAACCCAACCCCTGCCATAACCCCAGCTTCACCCTAAGGTAACCCAACCCCTGCCATAACCCCAGCTTCACCCTAAGGTAACCCAACCCCTGCCATAACCCCAGCTTCACCCTAAGGTAACCCAACCCCTGTCTGACCCCAGCTTCACCCTAAGGTAACCCAAACCCTGCCTGACCCGACCTTCACCCTAAGGTAACCCAACCCCTGCCATAACCCCAGCTTCACCCTAAGGTAACCCAACCCCTGCCATAACCCCAGCTTCACCCTAAGGTAACCCAACCCCTGCTTGACCCCAGCTTCACCCTAAGGTAACCCAACCCCTGCCCTACCCCAGCTTCACCCTAAGGTAACCCAACCCCTGCCATAACCCCAGCTTCACCCTAAGGTAACCCAACCCCTGCCATAACCCCAGCTTCACCCTAAGGTAACCCAACCCCTGCTTGACCCCAGCTTCACCCTAAGGTAACCCAACCCCTGCCCTACCCCAGCTTCACCCTAAGGTAACCCAACCCCTGCCATAACCCCAGCTTCACCCTAAGGTAACCCAACCCCTGCTTGACCCCAGCTTCACCCTAAGGTAACCCAACCCCTGCCATAACCCCAGCTTCACCCTAAGGTAACCCAACCCCTGCTTGACCCCAGCTTCACCCTAAGGTAACCCAACCCCTGCCATAACCCCAGCTTCACCCTAAGGTAACCCAACCCCTGCCTGACCCCAGCTTCACCCTAAGGTAACATATCTTAACTAGGCTACTGCCCAAACTACAACAATAATTTACCTTTCTAGAAATAGCCCGTCAATCTCCAATCTTCAACTATAATATAAAATATAGAACATGCTTTATCCTTAATAATTTCCCAATAACTCACATCATCGATACCAGGGGATAGAACCTGTACAAAATAATAATAAAGACACTAAAACAAAAGAAAATCCTAACATTAAAACTAAAAATAACTATAATTCAATAATAATTATGAAAGAAAGAAATATAAGGATCAGAAAACATATATGTAATATGTATGTTGTATATGCAATTTTTGAATAATTGGAGCTTAGTTAAAATTTAAAACCATTGAGTTAACAAAGTACTTATTTTTAGACTTCTCATAAATCATAATAAATGACCATTCCTATCATTGTCGGCATTCCATTGTGTTTTTACTTAACCAACCTGCCGAAATAAAAGAAGAAAAAGTAAAGCGATGACACATAACCCATTCAGCAACAACAACACCTAAGTTCCCTGAGCATGACTGCCTTTATCATTTCGTTTTGAACCACGATACATTGATGTCTACATACTGTACAATGTGAGCATGACTGTCTTTATCCTTTCGTTTTGAACCACGATACATTGATGTCTACATGAGCATGACTGCTTTTATCCTTTCGTTTTGAACCACGATACATTGATGTCTCCATGCTGTACAATACAACGATGACACATAGACCATGCACACCCATTTTTGCCAAGTACAAGACCCTATTTGACAGAACCCCATGATGTCCCGCCCCACCCCTCTCCCATTTATGATGTCCACACGTGTGGTTAGGGGGGAGTTCGAAAAGAAAACAACTTTTGTAGACGCGAGTGGAAAGGGGGGGGGGGGGGTCGGGTCCCTGGCGAGCCTATTTTAGAAAAAAAAAATCGAAGATGTGTTTTAATAATGTTATGTATCTTGTCTCTATTGGACTCTGTATTTGGATTAAATATATAAATAAACAAATGGGAAAACATCTTTAAAATGTGTTCCCAAAAGTCTATAAAACAAAATATTTTAGTAAAATCATCAACCAGGGAAAAAACACGGAAAATCTCCAGTCTAAAAACTAGGTCTGACCGTAGCACTTGACCAAGTAGTCTCCCTTATATCGGCCTACTCTCCCCCACCCTCCTCCCAACTGATCGAGTACTGAGTAGCTTCTACTCTAGAACTAGCACCCCCACCCCCTTGTACTGAGTAGCTTCTACTCTAGAACTAGCACCCCCACCCCCTTGTACTGAGTAGCTTCTACTCTAGAACTAGCACCCCACCCCCTTGTACTGAGTAGCTTCTACTCTAGAACTAGCAGCCCCACCCCCTTGATCGA